GGGGCCCCCGTCGGGGCGGGCGAGGCCAGCGGGTGGGTGTCGAGGATGCGGGCGGGCACCTCGAAGGGCAAGAGCGAGGCGGCCACTCCGGGCCAACGCCCGCCAGCCTGCGCGGCCAACTCCGGCAGGCCTGGGCAGTGTCCTGCCGCTGTAGAAGGCCTGCCCCTCGGTTGCCAAAACAACCCTAAGGGCTCCTTCCAAACACGTGGACAAACCGCCGGGCCGGGCGGCTGCTCTCCCCTAGCCCCGTCGCGCTGCGCCCAGGTGCCGCGCGGGGGCGAGCGAGCCAGCTCCGCTTCCCCTCCTCCTCTCCTCCCTGATCCTCCCCTCTCCCCCTCTTCTCCCTCCCACTCCCGCTGGCTCAGCCGCCTCCACTTTCCAGATCTTTCTCGAACCCGCAGCTACTCGGGCAGCCGTTGCCCGAGTGCTGACGGAAGCAGCCGAAGTCGAGGCCGGGAGCAGCGTCGGGCTCGGAGCAGCATCTCGCGCGCCTCCCCGGCGGCCGAGCGCGCAGGCGCAGACCCCTGTAACTGCCGGTTGGAGGCGGCCGAACCGCAGTAGAGAGAGACCTGGGCGGCAGGGCTGCGGCGCTGGCGGCCTCCACCTCCGAGGTTCCCTGTCGCTCTGTCCTATATTTAATGCGTAGCGACTTCGGGTCATCTCTCCTTTGCGTCTCGTAGGAGTCGCAGTTCCAGGAGCAACAGTCCAGAAGAGGACGCGGTCCCCGCACAGCAGGCTTCAGTACCGTCACCCAGACCATCAAGCGGGATGTCTGTGGTTGGCATTGACCTCGGCTTTCTCAACTGCTACATCGCTGTAGCGAGGAGTGGCGGCATCGAAACCATCGCCAATGAGTACAGCGACAGGTGTACCCCGTAAGTGCCTTGTCTGGTCATAACCCTAAGAAGCGTTTTCTCCCGACCCTTAACGTTTGTCCCGCCTGCTGGTTTCTTGTGATGCTCGGAACTCTTGAGATGACAGGTGCAGTCCATCAGTTGCAGTCTCTAGAGACCGCGGGGTTGGAGGGCCCAGGTGGGAGGCGGACTTATTCGCGCTGCAAAGCTGCTTTTCCTTCAAGGTCAGAGGTCTTAACTCTTAACAGTTTGCGCGTCTCTCCTTTCTGTACTCGCGTACCCCGTCCTCCGGCCCACCACCACGGCCCTGTCCCCCCGGGCCTGCTTTAGTTTTAGGGAAAGGGGTTGGTGTGGGACCGCCTCGAATTCCTGAAAATTGGAGAAACATCCCTGTTTACCCCTAGTGGGGCTTGTGTGGGATTATTGGTCGCGGGCGGGCATCCCCGCTAGCTGAGTAAAAAATTCTTTATTCATCCCTCCTTTCCCCATCTGTCTGCGTTACGGCTTTCTCTTAGAGAATTAAGAAATGGGAGCTTAGACTACATACATCAGAAGATGAGTTGCAAGTTAATCTGGCTCAGAAAGCTTTTTTTTTTTAAGAAGGGGTTGAGGTATGCAGGGTTTTACCCCCTTGTCCTTGAGAATTCGAGGTAGTTTGACCGATTTATAGGGGTGTAGGTTAATGTTGCATTAATAGGGAGAGCATCAGGAAAGGGAGTCGTTGACCTCACGTATTGGTCATGTATATCCGTTAAAGGAAAGTAATGGAGCCAGAACCTACCAAAAGCGTATTTCTACAGAATGAATTGTTGGAGAGTCAGAGGAGACTGTCCTGTATAAACATGATTGTGGAGTGAATCTATTATGAACACTTGATGAAAGACTTAGAAGGAGTGGCATTATGTCAATGGAAACATGTTCCCACATGTTCCATTGTTTCTCTAGTCCGGAAAGTTTGTTAGCAAAGAATATAATTAAGACAGGGATATGAAAAACTAGCTTATTGTAGGCTCCTGTTACCGGTAATTTTATGAGGAAACCAACTGTTAGTGTCTTACTTTATATGGAAATGTTACTAAACATGTTAATTTTATCCTTCTAAATGGTCCAAAAGATAATACTTTAAATGTAGGACTAGTCTTGTCCAAGATCAGTGTTAAGCTAAGCCTTTAAATGAAATATTACTGTTAAGGAGCATTGAAGAGTAGCTTATTTGAAGCAGTCTGTGCTTTGGTTTCTTTCAGAGAATATTCTAGGTTTTATATCACCTTTTTCTAGATGTATGTATTATATTCTACTGAAATTTTGGCTGTTTATATTTCAAATATGAGCTGTTTATACTACTGTTAGAAATCTTGTTTCTTTTTACATCTTTTTCTGGCTTTTATGCACACTGTGAAGGTGAAGCAGTAATTGTGAACTGTTTACGACTTCATCTCTACAAAATTTTGTTTTAAGCCACAGCAGATACGGGCTTCTGCCAGAAAAGGAATAGGAAATTCCACTCTCCTCTTTCAGCAGAGTAGAGGTTAATGGGGCCAGTCTTTGGCTTCAGGGACTTAGCCTATGGAGAAAAAGTGAGAGGTAGGAAAGACATTCCCCTAATCGTTGAAGCTTTATCCTAGAAGGTCAGAAACCAGAATTTAAAACAGATACTGCATTTCCAGGCTCAGAAATCTTAGTAGTGGGTCGATGACTCTTTCAAGAGCCTGTCCAGACTTAAAAGCAGAGTTCTTTAAACATTAGGCTGCCCATTTGAGTCTCCTAGAAATCTCTTTGTTAATATTCTTAAGCACATTGGCAAATTCTGTGTGGCTGAGATTTAATGATTTTTCTGATTTGTGTGTAAGAGAGTCACTACTAACATCTAGATTTAAAGAGCCGAATCCAAAGTAGAAAGTTCTGAAGGTGGAAGGATGTGATTCCTAGCTTGCATCAGCAACTCAGCCCTCCTTTCTGTGTCTGTGTACTATCATTTGCCTCTTCTATTGTTACTAAGCTAATACTTCACTATAGTCCAGTGTTCTTACACTGTGGGACTTAAATTATTGTGTGAAAATGTAACCCCTCCTGATCCCTGGATATTTAATCATTAAATGCCTATCTTGCAAAAGCCATTATGACTATTATAGGCCTTGTAAGTTTTCTAATATGCTACAGTATTTAATAATAAATATAAACTAGTTTTTCAGAACTTTTTTCTGTATCCCAGTTGCTGACATCAAGGTAATAAGACACAGGTATTTCTAAAATGTAAATACATTGTAAAAAGATCCTATTAAAAATGAGAGGAAATGTTTGATTTAGTTGGTGTCAGCATCCAAACTATTTCACATTTGTTTCATTCTTTAACATACTTGATTATGTATACATGGAAGAATCCCATGTATAAACCAAGAAAGCCAGTTTAATGACAAAGATAATTGCTTAATTTTGGTCTGCAGTTAAGGGACTAAGGGCAAATAATTAAACCTATTTTTCAGATTCACTTTCTTTAAAGTTGATAATGCTTGTATTAACCTCTCTTATCTCAGGCGTAAGATGAAGAGGGAGAAAAAATTAACATGCATAAATTGAAGAAAGTTATTTTTCTGAATATATTCTTAACTAAAATTATTACACAAATAGTACATGTTCATTGTAGAAGTACAGTCATGTTAAAAGATGAAAATAAAAATTGTAATTTTTCCACCCAGAAATAAAACTTCCAGGTGGTTTTCTCTGTGTGTATTTCAAGAGTAGATTATATGTTATATTTTGTTTGATATCCTCTTTCTATATAAAATACATTTCTATACCATTAGTTTTTATGTTTGTATAATCATTTCTGTCATTTAATTCATCCCTTACTGGCTACTCAGGTTGTTTATATTTTCTTTTTATAAGCAATGCTGCAATAACTATCTTTGTAACTAAAGTTTTGACCCTTAATTCCTTCAAATAAGTTCCTAGAAGTAGAACTACTGAGTGTGCATATTTTTAAGGCCTTAAATATGTTTGTATTGTTCAATTAAGTATAGATACAGGGATGGGAATTTCCATCCCAGACTTAATTATATCAGAGCAATTAGTTTCACACGTGGGAAAAGAAAACTGCAGCCAGGAATCCTCATTCAGTATCAGATTAAAGCATGTGGTCAACTAAAACATGCTGCCTGAATTGATAATGGTGATTTCTGTGTGCCATGCATTGTGCTTGCACTGTCATACATGTCACACCAATTCTATGAGTTTGGAAATACTAGCTATCTTTTTCTATAGGAAGCCTTAAGCAAAGTTAGTATCTTGGCCAAGAACTAGTAAGCAATGAAATGGATTCAGTTTCATGTTTCTTTGACCCCAGAACCCTAATGTCCTTACATTATCTTCTGGCATATGGACAGTATATACATACTGGGTTAGTGAGGAATGTAATGATCAAACTTATTTTACAGTAAGGAAAATAGGTCTTTTTAATGAAACTATTTCAAGACGTTTTTGTTAGGTGTATGCATTTGTTACATCAAAAAAATTCTGTAGGATTGGGGGGAGGGTATAGCTCAAGTGGTAGAACACATGCTTAACATGCACAAATACCTCCTCCAAATATAAAAAATAAACAAATAAACCTAATTACCTCTCCCTCATAAATCAAAGGAAAAATAGCAAAACAGAATTCTGTAGGATCATATATAACATTCAGTTCTCCAATTTTTGTCTTCATTACTTTTTCCCTGTTTCTTTACCAGTGTATTTATAATCTGAAAATATGGCAAAATATTATTTATACACTACATCTCAGATATGTGAGACATCTTCTTTAATGCACAAAAGTAGAAATCACTTACTTATTGAGGATTGAAAATAAATATTTTTGCACAAAGGAAATGCCAAACCCCAGACGTTAACAGTGCTAGTTGGGTAGGAGGAATTCTTAAGGTGATAGCAGTTTGGGGTAGGAGAAGAGTTTTACATTTCTAATTAAATATTCTTTGTACTATATGAATTGGTTTTGTTTGTATGTTTTACTATGAGTTTATGTTAACTTTGATTTAAAATATTTTAAATGCTGAAGAACTACATAAAGTAAATCTCCCCTTGTCTCTTCCCAACCATTTCCTAAACTTTAGTGTGTATGTTTCTATATGTATGTGAGTACATATATATGTATATAACTGGGATGTTTTTCTTTTTTTTTTTTTAACAAAAGTAGAATTACATTATACATATTTTGCAATTGCTTTTTTCAAAATATATTGTGGACATCTCACACTTGCTCATTTGGCTCTAATTTACTTTATTCTTTTTAATGGCTGCACAGTATTCTGTTGATAGGTACACTACTATTGGTGTACATTTCAAAGTATTTTGCTGTTGACAAAAGATTCAGTAAGTCTCTCCCCCCCCCTTTTTAAATGAAATTGTGCCTAAATGAGTGGAAGGGCAGATGTCTCACAATTTAGCATGACCAAAGCTAGGACTATAAAATCTTCTAGTATGAATATTATCCACAAAATAAAGTGACTGTCCAGTCATTGCCATGAATTTGTGGGTGAAAAAGTCTGGAAAGCTTCTAGCAGGCAAGGAATGATAGGTACAAATTACATAATCAGTGTTATGAGTTTAAGATGTTTAACATGCCATTGGTAGTCTTTTTAGTATGTGGTCATTATAATACAAATTAATGAGCATGGCTGTATTCTGATAAAACTTTATTTACAAGAATAAATGGCAAGGGGTAATTTGCAGACCTCTATTCTAGGCAGTCATAATCAAAATACTCAAAATTATTGTGCATTGCTATTTGTCTTTGAACTGGTGAATTTTAAGTAAGATAACCAATGTATCTATATTAATGTCTGATTTCTGTTAATGGTTTCAAGTTATGAACTTATATAATTTGTGATTTATTACTAAAAGCATTTGGAAACTCAAAGGAATTATTATTTTTACATGCTAAAATTTTTTATTGTCCATATTGAAAGATTGGAAAGTTTGTATTAGTAAATCATATATGCCTGAAAGTCTTACCTTTCTAAGTAGCAAGCTAGAAAGGAAATGGCAACAATAAGTCCTTTTGAGAACATTCCTCCCCCACCTCTTCTAGGGCAGTTTTTTTTTCCAGATAGTTAAGTTTGAGAAATAATGACCAGACGTTTTCTTTACTGTAGAAAGTCTCAGATCCCTTAATTTTCTTTATAGGCATTGAAACATTTCTAAGAAAAGAATGTTACCCCCAATTTTTTTGAACCTCTAAGGGATTATTTTGTACAGAACACTATTTTGGATATGATACCCTAGGCCAGTGGTTCTCAACACGAGATTTTGTTCCCTAGGACACATCTGACTATCCGAAGATATTTTTGGTTATCACACAGTGGGAGGGAGAAGGGAGGAGGGCTACTGGCATCTAGAAGGTAGAGTCCAGGGATGCTTCTAAAATCCTGTGGTGCACAGAATAGCCCAAATCTCCCAACAAAAATTTGGCCTAAAATGTCAGTAGTACCAAGGTTGATAAATCCTGCTCTATAGCCATCTTGGCAACCATAGTTGAAAGTAGTTGCTCAGCAGTTGACATTTCGATTCAGAGCCAAATTGGCCCTGTCTGGAGCTGACCTCTTGATGTAAACCATTTGATTGTCTCTCATATCAATTCAGCTATTGTCTTCCTTAGCATCTACTGAATGATAGCAGAAGAGGCTATAAATAGTCATTGTGATCTTATGGAACTGGCAAAGGAAAGCAGAAATTTTTTAAATAGGGCTGTTTTTAAAGTGGGAAGATCAAGAGGTTTTGAATCCTTAGTGGAGATTTATAAAGAAGCAAACAGATTTAGAGTGGTGACCTCTTAGGTGAGAAGTCTCCTAGTGCTGTCAGTATGTTATTTTCTCCAACCTCACCATGCTTGGCCTTATAAAAACAGGCATTATAAGAGAGAAAATAAATCTAAAATTTTAGGGGAAAATAACAAATACAGCTTTCTTGAAGTAACATTCTGTCATTTGATTTTTATGCCCTTTACTAAAAGCGGTACAGAACATTTAGAAGTTTTGCTTGTTTGTTTAGAATTTTGTGTCATTCTCTGAAAATCTAGGACTACTACTATGGTGGCAACATCAGACTGGATGTTATAGATTTAAGCTGCATTGTAAAAATTTTTTTCCTTTTAGGTACAAAATGCAATTTCTAAATAATAGTTGAAATAATCTATTAAAAAGTGTAATATAATTGGATAATGTGATAGATACTTGGATAAACTGTTGAATATCCTTTTTATAAAAACTTTCATATCAACTTAATGTGTGGTATAATATATCTGTTTCCCTTGGTATTACTGAAAGTGAGGTAGAAGTTTTGAGATAGGATAGGTGTTTAACTTATTTTGATTTTTCTGAGAATCCTTGGCAGATATTTATTTAATGGCTGTGTCCTAGAATCTTTTTGAAAAAAAGCTGAAGAAAGGATTTTGAAGACCTTCAGTATGTGAGGAGAGTTTTCTGTGTGTTGAAACTGGGTATTTCCAAGCTATAACATTAAGTTTTTCACACTTTCAAAGTTGTCTGCTTTTAATTTCAGAGAATATCTGATAATGGTAACTGTTTATCTTTCTTTGTGAAGTGATAAAGGTGGAAGCATATTTCAATGATTATATGATTCAAATGATAGTTGAATTGGTCTTATTTGGATTTAAATGTTCTAACAAGTTACCCTTGAGAATCAACCTTGGAGTAAAATTTTCTGTGCCTTGAAGTGATGGTAGCCTCATATTGAAAACTTAAAAGTATTCAGAGAGGAATCTGAATAATGGAGTCGAGACCAAGACGGATTATAAACTAGGCTAAGAGATGGCAAATCAACATTTTCTGTAAGTTCTAGGATTGTACTCACATAGATTGCCATAACAGATATGCAAATATCCACTCTGGCAGAGATCATGTTGAATTCAAGGAGTTATTTGCAAGAGATGTTAAGATATCATCTGAACCACTGATTCTTACTGTATCCTTATTTTCCTGTTTTCACCAGATCACAATTAAAGAAAAGTAACTTCCATTTCTCTTACATCTGTTCATCACATTTGACGTTTTAATTCTAAATATGTTTCTGCTTGGATGTCTCAAAGGTAGCTTCATCTCAACATATCCAAAATAGAACTTTTGCTGGTCTAGCCCCAAACGGGTCTCTCTTGCAGTGTTTCTGTCTCATTGCATGGTACCACTATATACTCTCTTATGGAAATTGGAAACCTAGACATTATTCTTGCTGCTTTCTATTATCTATTCCAGTACTATTCAATAAAAAAAGATATAATGTATGTGAGTGACATACATAATATTAAATGTTCTAGTAGTTACATAAAAAGATAAAAACAGGCAAAATTAATTTTAATATACTTGATTCAGTGCAGTATATTCAAAAACTTATTTCAACATGTAATCAGTATTTTAAAATTAGTAAGATATTTTAACATTACTTTTTAAATTTTGAATCTTCAAAATCCAGAGTGTATTTCACACTTAAGTACACCTTAATTCAGACTAGCCTCATTTCATGTGCTTTATACACATGAAACACATGTGTCTAGTGGCTGCCGTATTGCACAGTGAAGATCCAGTTCATCACCAAGCCCTTTGAGTTTAGCTTCTAAATATCTCTTAATTGCTTTTCCTTCTTTCTCAGCTGCCAGTACCCTGGTAGAGATTATTGGTGATTTCTAGCTCTCCTCCCATTACTCTAGTTAAAATATTCTCCACCAGACACTCCCCTCTTGAATCTATCATTTACTCTTCCTTCAAGTGTCATCACTTTCTCAGGTAAGCCATTCCTGATCCCCCTCTTTTGGGTCAGTTCCTGCTGTTACCTTCTTTCATTGCACCATGTGTACCCTTTGTTGTACCACATTGTTTACCTTCTTTTGTGAGTCTTCAGCAGTGTAAGTTCCAGGAGAGCCAAAACTGTGTATTTTTCCCTTGCTATTAATAATTCTAGAACCCAACAGAGTGCCAGACATCTAGTAGTTACTCAGCAGTCATCTGTTCAATCGACTAAATGAACTTAGCTGCCTGCCTTCCCTGAAAAATCCAGTGCCCCCAGTGTAAGTGTCTTGTCAAGCCCTTGAAAAGCACTGTTCTGGGATCTTTCCTTTTCAGTTTGTATTATGTATAAGCATGAAGTGTTCTTTCCATTGTTCAAAAACCTTTAATGGACTCTCATAACCTACTTAAATATATTTCAAATTTATAATACGTCATTTTTGTGTAATCTGGCCCTAATACTATCTACAAAAATGTCCTATAAAACTAGCCAAGTTGTGTTCTTCCTAGTTTCCAAATTAGTGTACCCTTAGGAGCCATCTTCCCATTCATTCAGTAATTCATTCTTTGGCTGTGTACCAGATAATGATCTAGACCAGTGCTATCCAGTAGAACTTTCTATTCTACTATATATGTTTTATGTATTTTCTGTTTTCTGTATATCCACTAGCTATATGTAGCTGTTAAAGTACTTGAGAGTTGGTTATTGAGCCCTTGAAATGTAACTAATGCTGAGGAACTGAATTTTTAATTTTAGTCAGTTTAAATTTTATTAGCCACATGGAGTTTGCACTCTAGTGTGGAGATATAATCAGTAAAACAATAAATTGTATAAGATGGTGATACATTATGGAGAAAAATACAATTGTGTAAACAAATGTATGTGTTGGGGAGAAGCAAGAATGTTATTTATATAAAACAGTCAGAAAAGGTGTCTGATAAGCTGACATTTGAGCCAGAAACACGAGAGAGCTCAACCCACGTGTTCCAGAGAGAACAACATGTACAAAGGCCCTGAGGTAGAAGTATGCTTGCCCTGTTCTAGACATGACAGAGACCTGTGTGCCTAGATTGAAGTTGTAGGTTAGAGCAGCTAAGAAACAAACCATGAAGGGCTGTATTGACTGTTGGGAAGACTTAAGCTTTTATTTTGTAAGACAGGACAGACACCATTGGAGGGTTTTTAGCAGAAGAGTTTCAGGATCTTAGTCTTTAAGAGGATCACCTGGGCTGTCATATTGAGAATATGCCAGGAATGTCCTTTTCCACAAAACAGATACATATTAAGATGCATTCTCTTCTTTAAAGTCTTAATTCAGAAGTCACATCTAATTGTACTTGATTTTTCTAAATCTTACTGTCTAGAAGTGATTATTCGTTTTCTGCTAGTATTGTTCATAATTTTATTTTGTATGTTGATTTTTTAATAGACTAAATTCTTCAAGGACAGTGATTGTAACTGGTATATATAATGCCTGTAGATATTTGGTGATTAAATGAATTATTACCTGTAATTATGACTGAAGCCATGGACAAACATTTTCTTGAATCAGCATAAAATGATATTTTGATAAAAGTGTTACTCTTTGCTTGCTTTTATAAGCAGAATAAGATTTAAATGCAGTAATTAAAACAGCAGTCATACTGTTCAAAGCATTTACCTATATTTACTCATTTAATCCTCCACATGGCCCTATGAGTAGGTATTATTATCATTGCTCTCTTCCAGATGGGAAACTGAGGCAAATAACAGATAGGTAATTTCCATAAGGTTACTTAGCTGTTATGTGAGATTTAGATCCAGACAGTCTGGCCTTACTGAATACAGATAACTGTTTTAGAAAGTCATAGACCAGTAGAATTTGGAAAACAATTTTGGGACCAACGTAGTGTTGCTAACTATTAGCACATTTTTTAAAATTCTAACATGTATTCTGATCATTATTCCATTACTTAGAAGAGCTTGAAAATTATGTAAAACTCTTGATTTCAGTAACCTATTTTTTTAAATAATACTCTATTAATCCTTTAAATTCATTTTTGTATAAAGAGAAGCAGAATAATAACACATTAATATAAAAATACCTTGGGAACAAACTTGTTTTTTCCTTTTTAGGGCCTGTATATCTTTGGGATCGAGAACGCGAGCCATTGGAAATGCAGCTAAGAGCCAGGTAAACTGTTACTGTGGATGTTTTGACTTATAGGAAGAATTAATACTGGTAACTAAGCTCCCATTTTATATATTTAAGAGTGAAAAAAGAGAAGGAGGAAGATGACATATCTAACATCTTTGTATTTTATTAGATGTATTTTGCTTTTGGTTGTAAAATATTTCTTGAATTTTATTTTTAAAAAAACTTTTAGTTGTGAAGCTTAGTTGTAAGGTTTTGGTTGTGAAGTTGTACTACCAAATGGCATCAGTTTTTCCTTGTATGGCCACTTCCTATGAGAGATATCCTATGTAGGATATATGCTCTACCACAAGTGAGCAATGTCTTTGTAAAAGAAGGTGGGGAAAATGGAGAAACTGATTTCCAGAGTAATCCCATGTGGCTACTACTTTACATGGAATCTGTTAAAGTATTCATATTTCTAGGCTTCTGAAATTCTTTTGAGTAAAACATTCATTTTTAAAAATGTTCCATGGTATAGATTCATTTTCCTTGGATTTTGTTTATTGTCATAAATCAAAAGCCTCAAGACTTCTTTCTTTCTTTTTAATACATACCTGGGTCTTCTTTTCTTTATTAGAAAATAACTTTAATGGGGCCTTTTTCCTCATGACTTTGTAGGAGTAATTTACTCATTAATCCAGGAATTTTTGCTTAAGATTTTTATCAAGATTGCCTCAAAGTTGGCCTGTGTATATGAATATGGTTCACCCCCTTCCCATTTTCATACTGCACATAAACAAATGTTGTTTGTGCCAGAAAGACTCCTTCACTAAAGTTTACAACGCATATTTTGGCTGATCTTCTAAGTGTATTGTAGACCTTCTAAGTTAGCAAACTAAGTTATTTCTCCTAAAGAGCTAGAGAGATCAGCATGGTAATTCAGTATCCCTGTAGTTTTCATCTTATAATTGAAGATCAAAATCTGTTTGGCTTTAAAGGTTGCTAAGAGGACAACAACTGGATCCCGGTAATATTCTATAGTTTGAACTACATGTTCTAGGTAAAGAAAGAATTACTGTGCCAGAATACAGGCTATTTATAAATTAAAATACTTCAACTTAGCACCATGCTATATGGAAAGAGTTTTAATTTTCTTGCCTAGGAGCAATACTCAGCAATGGAAGCAACATAATAGTACATGAGAAATTTCACAGAGAATAAGATAGTAAGAGTAAAAGAAAAACGTGGTGATAAAAAATATAGTTTAAATAAAAACACAAATGAAAATTCAAAGAAAGAAATCAAAGATACTAATTTATTAGCACAAAAGTGTTGAGGAAAACCAAAGAGGTGAGTTGTAGATAGGTTTTCATTGTATTATTTGAAAAGTTTTCAGTTTTGTTCTTTTTTGAAGACATCAATTTTGAATCTAACATTCCTAGGGTAGGTGGAGAGTTTGGGGGGCTATAATTTTACCATCAGTTTGAAACCAGAAAAATGATTGTGTGTGATTCTGAACTTCATTGTGTAGGATAAGTAGACTTGGTAGTTCTCAAGTATTACCACAGTGTTGATTTTGCATTCATTAAGTAATTGATAAATTAAAGTGTTTACTGCCAACAGATAGTCACAAATGTAAGAAATACGATTCATGGTTTCAAAAAGCTTCATGGGCGATCATTTGATGATCCTATTGTGCAAACTGAAAGGATCAGGCTTCCCTATGAGCTGCAGAAGATGCCTAATGGAAGTGCAGGAGTTAAGGTAAGCTTATAGTACCAGAAAGGACATATATATTCAAACTAAAGAAACCAAATACGATAATATTGCCTATTTGTAATTTAACTCTTTTCCTCTGGATGCAGTACATATATGCCAAAATACAGGCAGTTTTTGTAGTATGCTTTAGTGAATGCCAAAAAAACCTAATTTAGAATAAGATTATCACCTTTTTTAACTCTAAATACTTTTATTGTCCAGAAAAAAGGATTATTATTTGGAGAACTTTTAGAGGTGAACCATTTTTGAGAGATAAAGGCATGTGATTTAGAGAAATAGACCCAAAAAGTATGTTAATTGCTCTAATGAGTTTTCTCTGATTTAGAATCTTATATTAAGAAGTATTAAAGCAAACTCTTTTTCCAAGTAAGAGGTGGACTCTGGTTTTTTATTTCTACATCTTCAGGCAGAAAGTTATAGATTGGTTAACAAAAACTAACATAATACCCCAAAACACATAAGAGTTACCATATAACCCAGCAGTTCCACTCTTAGGTATATACACAAGAGAACTGAACCATATGTGCACACAAAAATTTATTCAATAGTGTTCATAGTAGCATTATTCATTGACAGCTAGAAGGTAGAAGCAATGTAAGTGTTCATCAGCTGATGAGCAGATAAACAAAATATGGTGTAGCTATCCAGTGGAATGTATTATTTGGCCATAAAAAGAAGTGAAGTACTGATAATGTGCTATAACATGGATGAACCTTGAAAACATGCTAACTGGAAAGAAAAAACAAGCCGGATATAAAAGGCTACATATTGTATGATTCCATTTATATGGATGTCCAGAATTGGGCAAATCAGTAGACACAGAAAGCAAATTTATGGTTGCTAGGAGTTAAGGGTAAGAGGGAAAAGGTCCCTTTACAACTACTATGGCTTTTTAGGGTGATGTGGAAATGTACTACAGTCAATGTTAATCAGTATACAGCTTGACTATACTGAACACCACTGACTTGTACACTTCAGAAGGATGAACTTTATGCTATGTGAATTATATTTCAAAGGTAAAAATTTAATAGCTAACTTTAAATTTGATATATGTTTTAAGGCTGTTCACGTATTTCCATGTTTAGAAGAGGGTCTGACTACAGGATGGATGATGAGTTGTAGTAAGGAGACATGAGTCTGTTACAGTAGGTCAAAGAAGACACCATGAGAGGTTAAAGACAAGCTGAAAAATTGTGAAGTAATATTTTAGGTGAAATTCTGGATCAAGGGTTGCTGACTCGATAGCTGGATAGGTTATGATAGCAATAAATGAGATCAAGAATAATATTCACATATCCTTTAGATCTGATAAGTTCTGGTTAATGACTACATGGTGCAGTTTTATTCTAAACTACTTAAATTATGTTGCTTTTATTCTTTAAAAGAAATTTAAAAATCATGCTTTGTAAGTATTTGAGGAAAACAAATTATTTTTAAAGAAAGTCAAAATCTAATTTTTAAGTAATAAAATTCTTATGCGGCGTAGTGAGCACATGTTAAGCTAGTTAAAGAGGCTTTGAAAAGATGTCAATCCTGTGTTGACCTAAGTTTCTTCATCTTTTGAAGATTGAAAATCTTTAGTGTTTAACTCCTCAAGCACTTTATACATTTAGTTTTTTCAACATTTGTTTGAATATACTTTATTTCATCTAACTTTTATATTCTTAAAAAATACTGTATTGTTATGTCTTCTATAATCAGATTGACACATGGTATTTGTTCATTTTCCCTCATTTCAGTGTGCTTCCTTTCTTCTCACATTTAAAGACTAATTTCATGTAATACTTGGTTTTGAACTTGCAAATTAATTTGGAAACAAATAGATACCAATTTTAGGTCTGTTTCAGAGTAAATTTTACAAGATTATTTATATGTATTTATGTACTTATATACATACATACATTGTGATGCTTGAGAGAGAAGTTCCTTAAAGCTCTTCTAAAGTTTGGTGTTGTAGAATAAAACTATTCACTCCATTGGGGCTACAGAGGTAGAAAACATTGCTTTTTCTTCTGTAAATTAAATGTAGTTATTGGATGAGTTCTAAGTAAACTCTGTATTGCTTATAAATATTGTGGTTGTCATTATAAAAGAGTTTTATTGCTTGAACAAGGCCCTCCAGTATTCCTTGGTCAAGAGGTGCTTGTAAGGTTTTATTTTATGTGCTTAAATGCAGCCTAGTCTTAAACCTATGTATAAGATGAAGTGGTTATCTGGTCTAAAAATTTTTTTGAAATTTCATTATGCACCTCTAATGTTTAAGTCAAAGTTATCCCCAGAAACCTTGGAGTAGTACATATTAAAAATTTTTTTAAATAAGGAAATTTTCTCTTTTTCTGCTGATCTTCTCGTTTCCTTTTCACAAAACTGTATTACTCATGGTTTCATTTTAAATTCAGGAAGAGTTCTAACTTCCAAAAGAAAGATTGTTTTTCCCCTTATTTGTTTACTTGGATAGTGAATGATAAAAATTGCTTTTGTGGGAGGTGGGGATCTGGAGCAGGTAAAAAAACACTTGAAAATAATTCGGTTATAATACTATGTGTAAGGCATTGGAACTTTAGAGATGAGATGTAATGATACTAAAGCAGTCTTTTCGGTATATAAGTTAATTGAGCAAGGACTTTGCCTTTTTCACTGTTGTATATTGATCATATATAGAGTAGATGCTCATGGAATACTTGTTGGATGAATAAATGATTCCTAATAAGTATCTCCACTTTTGGCTTTAGGTGCGATACCTAGAAGAAGAGAGACCTTTTGCAATTGAGCAAGTTACTGGAATGCTGTTGGCCAAGCTTAAGGAAACTTCAGAAAATGCTTTGAAGAAACCAGTGGCTGACTGTGTGATTTCAGTAAGTTTTACCTTAATAATGAATAATAATAATGAATACTGTTGAGTCATACTTTTCAGTGTATTAGTGTTACGTTGAAATATTTTTCTTCTCTTTTCTTTACTCTTTCTGCTCTTATCCAGTAAATAACCTAAATCTATTTTTACTTTTATATTAAGAAAATTATTTTATTTGGTGAAGTTCAGGGCTGTGTTTCCCATAAACTCAATTGTGATAATCAGTGAATCTTAAAAAAACTAATATATGTGATTAGTGACTGCTGTACCTGCCACTTATCCCAAGGAATCTGTCTAGGTAGCACTTAACTTCCGACCTCTAGGGACCTTGACATTTATGTCAGAGCTTGAAAATGCCCAGTTGGGAATTTGAGATTGTGTATATTCTGTATCATAAAGAAAAGATACTTTTTAAAAATGATAGATTAGATGTATATGTATACTTCTGGAAATTTTGACATATACATACACCTATGAAGCTATCATCATCACAGTCAACATAATAAACATATTAATCACTCCCCAAAATCCACTTGTACCTTTAAGATAAAAATTGTTTGTATAAAAGGTGAGCAGCATGGTACTTTGATACACATAGTGAAACAATCACTACAGTCAAGCTAATTAACATAGTTAACCTTTTTAGTGTATGTGTGGTGAAAGTAGCTGAGATCGCCTTTCTTAGCAAATTTCCAGTATATAATACAGTATTATTAACTGTGGTCGCTGTGCTGTACATTAGATTTCTGGAACTTATTCATTCTACATAACTGAAACTTTAGTACCCTCTGGCCACTGTCTCCCCATTTCCCCCACTTCCTCCTCCTGGTAACCAGCATTCTACTCTATCCTATGAACTCAACTTTTTTAGATTACATATATAGGTGAGATCAAATACTATGCAGTATTTTTCAAAAAGAGATATCTTTTAAGAATTCTTAATAAAACATTTAATTATTTACGGTATCTTGTATCTTGAGATCCCACTCCATATTGATAACTAGTTTTTAAGTTATATGTTGTCACCTAAATGTGAATATATTCTTTTTTTATGTTTTTTTAATTACTAAAGTATCATCAGTTATAGTGTGTCAATTTCTGGTGTACAACACGTCCCAGTCATGCATATACATACATATATTCCTTTTCATAGTGAATATATTCTTAATACTGTTAAACTTGACTCCTTAAGTTCAAGAGTCTCATGTCATGAGAAAAATAGAATCATATTATAAACTCATCGGTGAATTTAGTAATTAGAATTTGTTGGGTATATTTGAAATTTTTTAAGTGAGAGAAAAATATTAGAGCTTAGCCTTCTGTTTTCCAGCCACTTTGTAATAGTAAATAATAGAGTTTACCATTGGCCAGACACTGTTCTAGGCATTTAATGTGTATTAACCCATTTAATCATCAGAACCACTCTGTGAGGTAGGATATTAACCTCAGTTTCACAGATGAAAAGATTGAGGCATAGAGAAGTTAAATAACTTGTCCCAAATCAGCATACCTAACAAGTGGTAGAGCTAGAAATCAAACCTAGATAGTTCATTCCTGAGCCTGGGCTCATTACTCTTCCATCATACTGCCACTTGAAAGGGTATGTCAGAATGGTGCAAATTTTATAACGATCTTAAATTCAAATCCATTCCTATTTATTTAGCTATACTTGATGTTACTTTCATGTCAGATGTTAGTGTCAAAATATAGCTTTATGAACTTCTTGGTGATTATTAACTGTAGTTAGCACAGTAGACCCATCTGAGCTGTACGAGGGGAAGGACTTTCTCTGTTTTATGCTCTGTGATATCCCTAATGGCTAGAAAAGTACCTGGTTCATAAATGCTCACTGAATATTAAGTAAATAGTACATGATAGTTCAGATTTTTGTCAGAAGGATAATACCAAAATCAGGATAAACAACGTTATCAAAATTTAGGTTCTTTTCCTGTTGTTATCTGTTAAATGAAATTCTAAATTCAAAAAGCAGTAAGATTGGAGGAGACTACTTACTTAAAATTGGAAGAGCCCCAAGTCATTTTGTACAGGATTATACTTAATTAGCTTTTTAGAAATCTGTCTGTAGAACAAGTGAAAGTGCTTCATAGTTTGATAGAACTAAGTATTTATGTAAATCTTAATTATAAGTTTTAAATTATGAGTTTATTTTCTTTTACAAAAAGTGTAAAGTTTTTTTATTATTTGTAACATCAGCAAAATTATTTAAGTCGGTACATTTTTAAGGAATTTTACATGTTCTGATTCCTTCCACCGCCTATCACTTTAGTTCCTCCAGTTGTTTGAGTCATAATCTTTGAAGATAGCTCTTTCAAAAATAATTTTTGCCCAGTCCACAATTATGTCAGTCAATCCACAGTTCTTTTAGGTGGGCTTCTTTGATCTCCAAAGGAATATGGATACACTTCAAAAATTTCCCACCTGTAATCTTAGGGATCCAGTTTACTCAAGCAGTTTATTTTAGGGCTCTAGTTAAATGTAGGAAGTACGCTGCTATTTTGGCAAATGATCTAAAATTATTATCCCTTCATCATTTCTAATATTGAAAAGCCTTCCTACATCCAGTTTTTACTCATCAGCCTCCAAAAAAAAAAAGTTACAGGTCTCACCACCAGTGCAATAAAATTATGTGATAGAAGCAAAACCTGTGTTGTCATTATAGCCACTATTTCATTTTTTTAGTAGAAACATATTTTTTTTGGTGATTTATAAAAACACATGCTCATCATAAGTCCCCTGCATATAGTTCCCCCTCCCTTTGAAATACAACCATTGTAAAAACTTGGGATTGTATTTTTCTAGTAATGCATACATATGCAAAAATGGAATCGTGCTGTGTGTGCCGCCCTTTTTTAAATGTAGTAAAGATACTGTTCCATGACAGTTCAGATCTATCTGATTCTAACGTCTATATAGGATTCCATTATGTGGATATAACAATATATTTAACCAATCTAATTTTTAGCAGACTCTTGAGTTTTTAGTTTTTCATTATTAAAGATGAACAAGTGTGTATCTTTATAGACCAGACCAACACAAGGATTTAATTAACATGTTTTTGAAATCTACAGTATTATTCCATTTTATTAATTGCTTTAAATTTGTGTTCACAATGTAGGTCAAAATTTTGTGATATAGAAATTGCCAGCCTTAAAAAAAACTAGTATTTTTTCCTAATTAGTTTAATTAAACCATCATAATTTACCTTAAGCTGTACATAAGTTTTTTTTAACATTTTTTATTGATTTATAATCATTTTACAATGTTGTGTCAAATGTACATAAGTTTTAGTGCAATTATTTTCATTTTTCAATTGGTGAAATATTTAAGTGAAATCTGTTACACTGAATAACACCCTTAATTATTGTTTTGAAATACCAGATTCCTAGCTTTTTCACTGATGCTGAGAGAAGATCTGTGATGGCTGCAGCCCAGGTTGCGGGTTTAAATTGTTTAAGGTTGATGAATGAAACCACTGCAGGTGAGCAGTTTGCAATTTGAAAATCACTGTGAGAAAAGTATTTTTATAGCTTTTTTAAGCTAATACAAAGCGTTTTTTAAACTCTTATATGTACTAATTCTTATAAGCTTGTTTTGGAGCACAATATTTTGGCAGAGGTTAAACATGTCTTACATTGGCTATTATAATCATTAATATTATAGAGTTATAGATGGGTAGAGAAAACGAAAAACATTAACGAAATTATGAAAAGTTAGTTTACTTTGAAACTAATAATTTTTATTACTCTATATGAATTAAAATGTATCAGCGTGACTTATCTATTGTTTTCCAAGTGATTGCTGTCCTGGAATAAACCTAACTCTGTTCTTACGCAGTTGCACTAGCATATGGAATTTACAAACAGGATCTTCCCCCGTTAGATGAGAAACCAAGAAATGTAGTATTTATTGATATGGGCCATTCTGCCTACCAGGTCTCGGTTTGTGCTTTTAACAAAGGAAAACTTAAAGTAAGTAAATAATTTGCTGTATTTAATTTTAATGGTTAACAGCATATAAGACTACATAGAGAAATTGAATGCCTGGGTTTAAACCTTGGCTCTGCCACTTAAAAACTTTGAGGACAAAATAAGTTAATGTATATAAGATGCTTGGAATGCCGTAAAGATATTATAATATATTAGCTGACTTAATAACTCAATAAAAATAACTATCAGGGAGCATAAATTACATATTTATACATATGCATAGGCGACATTTTCTAAAATGATTCCCGTTGTGTTTAGAACCCTTTCTATCCAGGAGCCCCTTACCAAAATTCTCTACAATGTGGCATTATTTACTTCTGTTTATCTTCTTATAGCCTTTGGTTTTATATTCTTTTTTACCTTGATTATCTTATCCAGACTTACACACTCACTCTCTCCATTTCTCACATGTGTAGAATTTGCTCAGAAGATTAAATGCTTTGGATTATCCAATACCTTTTAGAGCCTTTTGTATTGCAGTTTATATTATTACAATAACATTTTTCTAAACAGAAAATTAAAGGGAAATGACTCATAGTGAAATCAGGGTAATTTTTTGCAAATTGGTTTAATCCTTGGAAGTTAGTTTTGAATTTTAACTTAATTAAAACATTTTTCTTTCTTCCTTTTTAGTGACTACCTTGGAGTAGACCTATAATTTTTTAGATCACAGACCCCTTTGGAAGTTTGATAAAAGCTATGACCCTTCTCCCCAGAAGGATGCACATTTCCACTAGTCACATACCTACACAGTTTTGCATCTAATTTTAGGTAATACTGGACATCATGAGAAGTCTGTCCATGAATTTTCCATGCTAGACTGTGGGATGACACCCCCATCAGATTGTGCTCACATCCTACACTGATGTTTACCACTATTCCACCACTTGTCCTTGGGAAAAAAAGCTGATGAACCATACCAACAAGGGGATTCTTCTTTTTCCGCAGTGACTACTAAAAGTAGTCATTTTTGCCCTCTACCCTGGGAATTGAGACTAGATGTCTTGGTTGTGTTTTCCAGAGCTGTAGTAGTCTAGTGCTCTGACTTGTCTACTCCTCTTCCATTTGACTGTTAGTTGCAGTCTATTGCTCAACAAGTTTATTATATTGAATTCTTGTCTCGCCTCATTTTTTTCTGTTTTCTTTTTTGGTCCCTCGTGTGCTTTTTTCTTCCTTCTATGTATTTATAAAAAATAGCCTGGCTTTTTTAGCCATAAGAAATGAAATGATGCTATTTGCAGCAACTTGGATGGACCTAGAGATTATCATATTAAGTGAAACAAGTCAGACAAAGACAAATATATGATATCACTTACATGTGGAACCTAAAAAAAGATACAAGTTTTAAAAAATAGCCTGACTTTTGGGGCAAGGGTTGGGGGCACTAATTCCTGATTTTTAAATTAACAGATTGCAAAATACTTTAGATTTGATCTTTGAATTGGTTCTTCTTGGCTGTTTTGTTTTGGGTTACATATTTAGAACTGTTTCCTTGCTCTCTTTTTTTTTTAAACATTTTTTTTGAAGTATAAAATCAATGTTGTATTAGTTTCTAGCATACAACATACTGATTCAGTTATACAAATATATATATTCTTTTTTCACTATAGGTTATTACAAGCATTGAATACATGTTTCCTTGCTCTCTTAAACATGGTTTTTGGCCCACCTGTTCAGTGCTGTTGTACAACCATAGGATGTGAGATAATGAAGTTTTAGTCATTGTAACTGAATTATTTCAGAATTAGAATTATTCTTTTACTTCATGGTATATAGCTCTGTAACCTAAAGCAGGTAATTCAGAGTGGATAAATACGTTGGCTAAAAATTAGTGATAGTTACTACAGGTGATTCCAAATTTGGCACCCCTGTGATTTTTGACAAGATTTGCGGTTTTGGTTTTATTTTCAATTTAAAAGGTATTTTTGTTTTGTGTTTGTTTTTCTGAAAGCATCTATATTTCTGAAAATTCAGTTCTCATTTTTCAATTAAACAGGTCTTGGCTACTACATTTGATCCATATTTGGGTGGCAGGAACTTTGATGAGGCTTTGGTAGACTACTTCTGTGATGAGTTCAGGACCAAATATAAGATAAATGTGAAAGAAAACTCTCGGGCCTTGTTGCGTTTATATCAGGAATGTGAAAAACTAAAGAAGCTAATGAGTGCAAATGCATCAGATCTTCCACTGAACATTGAATGTTTCATGAATGACCTTGATGTTTCTAGTAAAATGAACAGGTACTATGTATGTTTTCAGTTTGAAAAGTGTTTGCTTATTTTATATTTAAATCATGTCTGAATGTTTTCATTCTATTATTTTAGAAGATATGCTCAATTTTTATATTTCAAAATAGTAAATTTGAATTGTTATTCTACAAGATATGCTCAATTTTATATCCTAAAGTAATGAATTTTATTTCATTTTCCCACAGGGCTCAATTTGAACAATTATGTGCTTCCCTCTTCGCCAGGGTTGAACCACCATTAAAAGCAGTAATGGAACAAGCTAGTAAGTGGAAGTTACTGAACTAACCATCAAAACTGTACCATGGTGTTATTTGAATGGGATGGGAAATGGTAAAAACAATGAAAACTTCATATGGTGTTTGAAGATTTGTATTTATTTTAGAGAAGATTATAACTCATTCTTTATTCCATAACAAAAGGGCACTAAAAATTGGAGCTTATGAGAACTCCTGACTTAGTACTGTTCACATCATAAAACTAATGCTGGTTTTATTTGAAGGTGTTTATATGAAAGTTTTTGAAGATTCTAAGATGAAAAGTAGAAATGTGGACATAATTGATTTTTCTTAAGGTTTTTGGTAATCAGTTAAAAATACCTTCTGTGGGGATTTGTGAGGTAAAAGTTTAAAAAAAATTGAAGGACTCTGAAGAGTGCCTTTAAAGCCTATGAAGTGCTTGTCCGTCCTTACTGTCACTTCATCATCTGGACTGAGTAACACACGGATAATTAATACCTATCAAATTTTGCCTTTTTCCAAAATTTGTTTCTATCTTCTTTCCATTTTACCTTGTTTTGAGCAAATTTTTAAAAGCCACTTTTAAAAGAATTACTTTCCAGGGTTTACTGTTCACATTTTTATAAAGATGATGTTATTTTTCTCAATTAAACATTTTGTTTTTCAGACTTACAACGTGAAGATGTAAGTAGCATAGAAATTGTAGGGGGAGCAACACGAATTCCTGCAGTGAAGGAACAAATCACTAAATTCTTTCTTAAAGACATAAGTACCACATTAAATGCCGATGAAGCTGTTGCAAGGGGATGTGCATTACAGGTATGATTATTAATCTTTTTTTTTTTAGAATGTATATTTTGCCAGAAATATGATAGACCTAAAGGAATGTCTTAATAGTATCTGGTCCAACCACTCATCAATAAGCTAAAATGAAATCGAAATTATTCCTGAAAAATAAGTGTGGTGTCTTACTTGTTTTTAAATTGTCATAGGGTAACATATCCATATTTGTACTGAGAGAACATTTATTCTATGAATTCTTGTAACTTCCTATTTAAAATTCTTTTTTTGAGATTTAATATTTTACATTAATTTTTGTAAGGTCACAGAAGGAGTACTCTGACATTTTAAATTTACTAGTTATTACCAAAAAAAAAGTAACAATTTTATTGTAAGAACTTTACTAAGCAGTTCAATCAGGGTAACCTAGGATGTGTTTGGTGTTTGTTGATTTAAATATGATATACATCTTATTTTCAGTGTGCGATTCTCTCACCAGCATTTAAAGTGCGTGAATTTTCCATAACAGACGTTGTTCCCTATTCAATCACACTAAGATGGAAGACCTCTTTTGAAGATGGAAATGGGTGAGTTACTTCTAAAGTCTTGGTTAGATCTTGTCATAAATAACCAATTTGATACCTGTTTTTCTAAATTAGAGGAATTTGCACTTCTTAAAATTGTCAAATACTTTTAAATAAAATTTTAGAAAAAAATATAAAAATGATATGTAATATGTAAGCCATGATGGCATACTTTTTATTAATATCTGATTATAAAAGTAAAACAGTCTCATTTTCAAAGAAAAATCACAGTATAGAAATATAAATACTTAAAAACCTGCATTTACCATGCCCCAACTCCCTTAGCCCACTTTGTAAGAGGTAACTATTGTTAACAGGTGGATGTATGTCCAGTCATTTTCTTTGACTATCCAAATAAAAGCACTTTTTAAATACTTACATGGTCATCTATATATCTCCAGTACAACTTGCTTTTTTAAATACATGTCACCTTTCCATGTCAATAGACAGTAACTATTTTTTCAACAATTATATGTGCCATAATTTAACCAGTACACTATGAAGTCATGTTTTTCCTGTTTCAAGCAGTGCTATTAGGAATATCTTTTTACACATCTCCTTTAGTTATGTTTGGTATATGTGTAAGGTAACTGTGTAGGAGTCAAATTAAGCCAAAGGATTGGAGCATTATTGTAACTATTACTACCAAATTATCCAGTAAAAAGACTATATGTATTTATATTCCTATTAACATTGCATGACATAACCTATTTTAGTTCATTTTCTCCTATAAGTTTAACATTCTAATAGTTAAAAAAAGCATTTTGTTACTAAATTTGTATTTTTGACTATTGTGAGCTGCAGTCTTTTCATGCTTTGACATTTATATTTCCTTTTCTGTGAACTGCTGGGATTTAATAGCTTACTTCCCTATGAAAATGAGATTTGTATTTCAAGTATTATATTTGACTACTTTTCAGACGTATAATTTGTATAATAAAATAAACTTGTATTTACGTTTTGAAGTTGCATTTAAAATTTTGTTCTGTGCTCTATATACATCCACACCCCCAAGAAACTGAAATTATTGCACAAATTTCAAAAATATGGATTATCAGCCTGATTGGGAGGTTTTGCAAGGCATCCTAAATGGCATGTGTTAATGTCAATTTTGAGGCAAGAAATATTCTTTAAAGTTAATTTGAATTAATTTGAATTAAAAGTATAAGTGATCCAGAAAAAAAAATTACAAGAAAACATATGGGAAGTTAAATATAAATAAAGTAAAAATATTCTAGTGACTATAATAAGAAAGTAGAAGGTAATGGGAGGTTCTTCAAAACTAGGATAAAGGAAAAGGTCCATATAGGTGAGATTTTCAAACCTTGCATAATTAATATGACGATGGTATACATAATACTAAAGAATGCATTTATGGGCCACTATAAGCAACAGTTATAAATAATTTCTGTTACACTGTTGAAGGAATAGGAATTGCTATGTATTGTTTAAAAGCCTCCAGTACTAGAGAAGAGAAAATTCTGTAAAGGACATTGTTACATCAACCGAAAAAATTGGAATATGGATTGTAAAGTATCAGTGTAAGTTTATAAAGTTGACAACTGTACTGTGGTTATGTTAGAATGTCCCTATTAGGAAATACACATTGAAGGATTTAGAGGTAAAGGGATATCATGTATGTACCCTCAAGTTGATCAAAAGAAATTATACACATTCACAGAGTGTATGCACTGAAATGATGAAAGAAATGGGATAAAATAGTAGCAAATTTACATAAAGGTACACAGGTGTTCCTTATCCTGTTTTGATTTTTGTACCATTTTATGAATTTGAAATTATTTCCAAATAAAAGTATTTTTTAAGGGAGCAAGAATACAAAGAGTTACATATAATAAGTATTTTGGAAACTAATGGATAGAATTTGATCCTCAAGATGTGAGGAAAAAAAAATCTATATATATTTGCCTTAAAAAATACCTGTTTTCAGGTATTTTTTTTCTTTTTAGTAGGATTACATTGTCTGTTACCATGACAGACATTCTAAAAACTTTCAGCCATAAACCTGTCAAAACGCATATTTACAGCAAAATCAGTAATTATTTTGCTTAATCTTTGTGCACAGAGGTCTTTACAGTTGTTGCTTATGAATTCAAAATGAGATGGATTCTGTAATTAGGTTCATAGGCAACTTTCTGTTTGTTTTTAACTGTTTTCCCACTCTATTTTAGGGAATGTGAAGTATTCTGTAAGAATCATCCTGCCCCATTCTCAAAAGTCATTACTTTCCATAAGAAGGAACCATTTGAACTAGATGCATTTTATACTGACTTACATGAAGTGCCTTATCCTGATCCAAGAATTGGTGAGAGAACTCCACAATTTTTTTTTTTACAAATTTTAGCCTCTGATAAATATGTTAAGATTTGAATCAAGGAAACAAATTAACATTTCAGCTAAGCTAGCACTGGGTTTTTAAAGGATACTCATACTTTTTTCTAAATATGCACTTTTTAGTGCTTAGAGTTTCTGAGGTAACAGCAGCTTTGGATCTTTTTCAGTTCATTTTGACTTCTGTATTTAAAACGGACTGTAATTGGTCTGAAACGTTTGAGTGAGGGTTATTTTTATGGGAAAACTCTAATCAGTAAATTGAAATTGTGCTGCTGATTATTTTCTGATTTTAAACTTATATTCACTGGCAACAACTAGAGTAAGTATCACTGGATTAATAAGTGGAAATAGGAGACTGTACTACCCATTTTAGCTGAGTGTGATGTTTTTAGAAGATATAAAACAAAGTATGATTTTGTATCATTTAAAAGAGGAAGAATATTAAGTTCTGAAATTTTCTAAATGTACTGCTTTTATTGACAGACTAAAAAGGGGACAACATAAATATTTAAATTATGTTATTTAAAGCAGTAGAAGTAAGTTACTGAAAATGGTGTTCGTTTCCTAGGGCTTCTGTAACTAAGTACTACGAACTAGGTGGTTTCAACAATAGAAATGTACTGTCTCAGTTCTGGAGGCTAGAGGTTCAAAATCAAGGTGTTGGCAGGATTGGTTCCTTCTGAGGGCTGTGAAGGAAGGATCTATCACAGGTCTCAGTCCTTGGTTCATAGATGGCCATCTGTATGTTCACATGACATTCTCCTTGGTATTGAAATAAGGATACCATGTTTTTGGATTAGAGCCTACCCTGATGACTGCATTTTAACTGGATTACCTTGTAAAGACTCTGTCTCCAACTAAGGTCACCTTCTGAGGTACTAAAGAGTAGAGTTTCAATATATGAATAGGGTGCGGGGGAAGGCGTTAAGAACTGAACTTATAAAAAAGGTCAACCGGATTTTTTTTACTATAGTTTTTCTGCCCAGTATTCTCTCTCTACTATGGATAACATTATATATTTGAGACTTTTTTTGAAAAATAAAACATCAGTAGATTTCTTAAAGTGAAAAATTAATGTGACCTCAGTAGGTAGTAGTGACTGGATAACTTAGCAATTTTGCTATAGGAAAAATCCAGAAAAAAGTTTTAAATTGCTTTATTTATGAATTACCAAATGATTATGAGTATCTATTTTGTTTTCAAACTCAGAAACTGAATTTTGTTATTTTGGTTGTAGTGTGGCAATATTACAAAACACTTAAAAGTTACATTGCCTTGGGTTAGGATTTGTCCTTAAGATCCCAACTCCTTTTTCCTAGCATTGGTGATTTTGAACAGATTGCTTAACCTTTCTGAATTTTAACACCAGGTTATTTATTAGTGTATAAAAAGGAGATCTTGGGAAAATTCCTGTCCCATGGTAATTAATCAGGATATGATAATAATTTTATGATTTTTTTTTGCCAGCATCTGAAAGGTGATAGTAAAATTATTCAATGAATGAATTGAATGAGTTAATCTGAGGCCCAGGTACTGATCAAAGCTCTTTTTTCCTTCAGGGAGCTTCACTATTCAGAATGTTTTCCCACAGTCTGATGGTGACAGTTCCAAAGTGAAGGTTAAAGTTCGTATTAACATCCATGGAATCTTCAGTGTGGCTAGTGCATCAGTAATTGAGAAGCAGAATATTGAAGGGGATCCCAGTGATGTTCCTATGGAGACAGAAACTTCTCTTAAGAATGAAAGCAAAGATGATGTGGTATGTAGAAATTGTATTTCCAGATTCCTCTAATTAATAATATATACAGCACCTTAATTGTAACTGGTACTTTAGTAGTCGAAAACATTAATACTGAGGTTTTATTCAGAAGTTATGCCGTAGGAATCAGTGTATAGACTTATAAAAATAAAAGCATTAAAGAATAATTCTATTTTGAATGCTCTGCATCTTTCACATTGTAACATACTTCTCAGAGGCTTGCATTTATCTTCATAGCATTATATGGAAAATATGTATGTGTCTGGAGTCATCTTTCCTAAATTCTTTTTATCTATTAAAAACATTTATTATTACTAACTTTTTTGCTTACAGATAAACCAATTCAGAATAGTAAATTCTGAACTGTATACATATGTATTTTTAGATTGAAATCCATGCTTAATAAAGAATGTTTCAGGACTTAGGGGTATCTGTGGCAGTTGACCAAAAGAATATGTGTTATATTCAGTAACATAAAAACAGATTTTTGACAGTTTATTTCTTTATGAGTTATGTAACATTGCATTTACTCTTGGCAGTGTACAGATGAAGGAATCTTAGGAGAAAGTGATTGTATTGAATTACATAAAGTTTTCATTTTTTTATGTATACTATTTGTAAGTTATTTTAATGGCTTTTATTGGATTTTTTCAAATCATAATTGGATACCTGCCCTTGATTTTTCATATTTTTTAATATATTTGTGCATGCTAAGAATGGATTTTCTTTTGTTAAATTTCAGTAGTTTCTCCCTTTTGTGAAAGTTGTCTTTTTGTCTGTTTTTTATTAAAAATCACTGTAAAATCTTTTCTTCCAGATTGATCAGAATTCTACTACTCCTCCTTAAAGTACTTCATTTAAGGACCATGGCATTTTCTTTCATTCTTCTCATGTATTATTTTGGCATTACATTATCCTCTCCTTGAAGTGAAGGAAACACTGTCCTAATCTGTTAGTGAATCACAATAGTCAGTTTTTCTTAAATTAACGTAAGAGTAATAGGTGAAAAGTTAATTTTCTTCACTGTAGTTCACAACTTTTGTCAGACATGTAAAGTTAATCCATTAAGATTTATTTTTATTAAAGTTGAAAGCACTCTGCCTTTTAGAATGAGTTCTTTTAAAACAGTTTCACTCTTTACCTCTTTTTCTTAGGTCTCTGCCTAGACCTTTAGTTTCCTCTATGCACTGTTAGTGAATCCTGGGCACTAGAACCAAGAAGAACATGGCACCCATTTTCTACCTTTCCTAACATTTCTTACTTGCTGCTTCTGATTGTCTGTGGGCTTGAAAGCCAGTTAGCCAGTCCCTTAGGATGATTTCTGGATGTGGACTTAAAAGACTCTCCTGTATAAAATGTATAAATTTATAACATCCGCCTTAGCCACTCAGAGACTGCTTTGCTTACAAGAGTTTTTGGCTTACTAGAAAACATTTCCAAGTAGTTGGTGTTCAATATAAGGGATTTCTTCTAGATAAGTGAGATGTTCTTGAGTATTTCTTCTATAATTTATATAATCAAAGGACAAAGAAAGGTAACTGATGTTATGGATCATGTATTTGGCATTGTTGGTAAGCACACTGACATACAGTATCTCCTTTTAAACCCTTACTGTAGCTGGTGTAATAGGTGTTGAATAAATTAGTTTGTTTCCTTATCTTTGCTAAAAACGTAAGGGGTGATGTTGAATACCCTACTGTGTTGAAAACATCCTGTATACTGTATTGCTTAGTGGTTCTCTCTAGAACTTTTAAATTCTGTATCTGGAAGTTTAAAAGCTGAAGGCTTTAAATATCATTATAAAGGAATCTCTCCCTTCCCCACTCCCAATTTGTGAGCCAGTTCTAAGGAGAATCTGGAGGCTAACTGTCTAAGTTTTAATGGAGAAAATAAGAGGATAGTAAGGTTTTTTTACTCTCCCTTATTGCTGACATTCCTGGCTCTGAGGTAGATAAAGACACCCAGGCAGTGAGCAACAGTAGGAGTTACTTTTTCTTTGCATGGAAGTCAATTTATGAAAGATGATTTTATGGGTCTTATTTTTTTCACTAAAAATTAAGATAGCTTTGATTTTCCTGAAAAATCATAACATAGATTGCCAACTTTTCTTCAATACAGTGTAAGGATGTCTCAGAAAATGGACACTTTTTCTAACTATTTATTAATATCTGGACATATTAAAAAGTTAACACAACAGACTTCATCACAAAACTAAGAATCAAAGAGACTATTCTGTTTATCGTACTAATGTACCATGATTTAACTACTCTGCAAGTGTTGACCATTTCGGTTATTTATCTATTTATTTTTAAATTCAAAATATCTGATGACTTATTTAAATTCAAAATATCTGATTACTTCTATTACTAGAACAGGTACTGTTCTAGGCACTGAGGATACAATAGTAAGATAAAAAAGGTCCCTACCCTTCTGTAACTTATATTCTAATGGAAAAGGACAGGCAAGCAGCAACAAGATACCATATAAATATAAAGGAAACTAACAGCAGGGTATGCACAGTGGAAATTAAGTGATGAGGAAAGCCACCTGTGAGGAAGGAAGAGAAAGGTTAGCCTGAAAGATGAAAAGGCAGTTTGAGGGTAAGGAGTGGGTAGGTGGTTGTCCAGGCAGAAGGGATAACCAGTCCAATGGCCCTGAAGGCATGATGCCCTTTTGTGTTGTAACAAATACAAGGGTAGCTGATATACAAGATACAAGAGTGGAAAAAGGGAGCATGACAATAAAAAAACAAAGTTGAGAAGGTCAGTAGGGACAAATCGGGTAAATCCGTATAGTTCATAATAAGGATTCTGCATTGTATTCTTAAGTGCTTTTTATTTATTTAGCAAATAACTAGAGGCACCTAGATTATGTGTTGTGTGTTTGGATATAGCAGTGAACAGAAAGAGTCTCAACCCTCGTGGAGTTTTAAATAAATTAGAGAACCCAAGTTCTATGCACTAGAGGCACTTCCATTAACTTCCGCACTATTGATAATATTCCTATGGATCTCCTTAAAGTAATTTTAAAAGATTAATAAATTACTATCATACCAACTGTAAGATGTACAATTTTCCACTTATTAATATACCTGAAATTGGGATGTGTCATGTAAATGACAATATATATTTACTGCTGCCTGTGGCAGTAATCATCATTTGTACGTGTTTGAACTTGATTGTTATTCCTAATGGCATAAGTAGGCAATTGCAACCTCTTGACATTAAACACATTGTTGAAGGCCCATTCAATAAAGGAATACCAGTCCTGGTTGTCTGAAAACCATCCACTGACTCCTTCTGGTAAGATAAACATTATGATAAAACTTGTAGAACAGGTGTCAGTGGCTTATAAGAAAATATTAGAGACCATACTGAAGCAGTTTTTAAACAAATGGCTGGGTTATTAATGGTCTTGATGGACAGAGGACAATATTAATGTAGAAAAATTCAAACATCAACCACTGAATTAAGTGATTTAGAAGAGCTGGGTTCTAAATCTGAACTATATTACTTGGTTTATTTCTTTTGCAGCTATGAATAGAAGAGTTCAGTAAGTATAAAATAAAAACGCTAAGTGATCAAGCATTTTGGCCTTTAATTGGCAGCACTGTTTTGTTAGTATTACATGAAATAGAGTTAATAATGTATTTTTGTCATCCTACATTACCCCAACTCAATCACTGTATCACTTTTTTCACCTCTTCATTATAGGCTTGGGTAAATTGTAGAGATGGAAAGTGGTAGGGTGTAGCACCTGGGGGGTGGAATTCAGAAATAACTGACTTTGTAACTACAAAGAACACTGGTTTAAATTATCTTCTAACTTGTTTTTCTCTTTGGCACAAATAAGTGTTTATTCAAAATAGCCTTCTGGGCATTATATAAATGCTCAACTCCATATATATATGAGAGACATAAATTACACTGATTGCTACATTCCAGGCTTTCTTCTTTTTAGTAGGATGGTCATGGATAAGATTAAGAAAAACCAGAAAATTCTAATACTTGTGATTGCTTGCCAAGTGGAGAGTCCATTTGGCAGTCTATTGGTTGAAAGTGTGTCTTGTAAAGTTTACATTATAATAATTCAGAGACATCAGCTTGACTGATACATTTCCTTTGAGTATTTTACTACATTGAAAAAAATAGAATTGAATTTATGTGTAATACATAAATTTTGAATCTTTTTCACTTTATTTTCCCACATTAAGTTCTTTATAAACATTTTTCATGTTGAGTTTAGTGTTCTTTTTGTAAGCTTGCTTTCATGAATCTTGGTTTGTGAATTTGACTTATGAACAGTTTTCCATTTATTTTGCCACAGGTGAATGAAACAAGATTTATTCACATAGCATCAAATAGGTCTTTTTAATTTTACTTACTACCTGTTAATCTAATTATTTTTAGTTATTCTCATGTCAGAAACAATGAGCTTCTCCTTCACTATGTTCATACATTTCAAAACAGGCTTGAACTTTTAAGAGGCTGTTCATTACAAAAAGTAAAAAAAAGAAAGAAAAAGACACTATAAATATTGCCAATTATACATTTTCTTTCCAGGATAAAATGCAGGTTGACCAAGAAGAAGGAGGTCATCAAAAATGTCATGCTGAACACACTCCAGAAGAAGAAATTGATCATACAGGAACCAAAACAAAGGTTTGTTCTACTATTTCTGTGGCTGTATCTTTTTGAAGTTGATATTTTCAATTAATGTTTAGCTTTACAATGCATACTTTTAATAAACTTGATATTTTTAATTATAGTGTTATGAAAATACAGAAATTATGTAACCAGAATAAATAAATTTTATGATTCATTATAGAGGATTTTTAAAAGAATGAACCCTAATAATATAAATAAAATTAATTTTGGCAGGAAAAAAGATGTTTTTCATTAACTTTTTTTCTCATTAAAATCATGTAATTTCATAGAAAATAGGAAATAGAATAACCCAAATGAAGAAAACTTAAATTAGCAATAATGTTGCATCTCAGAATTAACCACTATTAAGAATTTTGCTGCAATGCATAAAGTATTTTTTCTCTGTGCAGAAATATTTTTGAAAGTAAAATTTTAAATGATAAATGACTTGTACTGAGAGTCATCATTATACTGAGATAGTCATTGCTGATAGAAGAGAAGGGGAGACACCCTGCCCCAGTCACCCAGTTGAATGTAGCTGCAGCTCTGAGCTCTCATCTTTGACAGATTTTTCTAACCTAAACAGAATTTAATTGGATAGTGATGGTTAGCTGTATAGATTTTTTTCAAAGGCTATATAAAGATTCAGTTGTAAATCCTAGGTGCTCAAGTAATACAAAACCTGAAACCTGCTTTTCTAATTTTTTAATTTTGCTCAATATTTTTTGCTTGTAATTGTTCAACAATTCTATTGAGATAGCTTACATATCATGCAATTCTCCCATGTAAGAGTGCAAGTCAAAAGTTTTTAATATATTCACAGAGTTGTGCAGTCATTATCACAATTTATAGCATTTTCATCTCTCCAGAAAGAAGCCCTGTACCCATTAGCAGTAACTCTCTATTTACCCCCAATCCTCCCCCTGCCAGCCTTAGGCAATCACTTATCTTTATAGATCTGCCTATTCCAGACATTTTTTAAAAACTTTTTCTCTTTTTTGAGGGGGAGGTAATTATGTTTATTTATTTATTCTTAATGGAGGTACCGGGGATTGAACCCAGGACCTCATGCATGCTAAGCACACACTCTACCACTGAGCTAAACCTCCCCCTGGGCATTTCATATAAATTTAGTCATACAATATGTGGTCCTTTATGACTGGCTTCTTTCACTAAGCACGTTTTCAAGGTTCATCCAGATTGTAGGATATATCAGTACTTTATTCCCTTTTGTGGCTGAGTAATATTGCATTGTATGGATGCATGCCACATTTTATTTATTTATTCATCAGCTGATGGATGCTGGAATTGTCTCCACTTTTTGAGTGTTATGAACAATCACATACAAGTTTTTGTGTGGATATGTATTTTCATTTCCCTTGTGTATGTACCCAAGAATGGAATTACCAGGTCATATGGTATCTCTCTGTTTAACAGTTGGAGGAACAGACCAACTGTTTTCCAAAACGGCTGCAGCATTTTTGATAACAATTCCAAAATGCTGTCTTGTCAGTTGTGTATGAGGATTCCAGTTACTCCATATTCTCACCAATTCTTATTTTCCTTTTTTTAAATTTATAGCCATGCTAGTGGGTATGAAGTGGCATCTTACTTGGTTTTAATTTGTATTTTCAGCCCAATGTTTTTTATGTAGAAAGATTCAGTGTATTACAGAGTATAAAATACTATCAGTATTAAAGTGGTATTTTTAAATAAAGTATAGTAGATTATAATATTTTTGATTCTACCTTGTTTCATCAGAAATTAGTCTCTTAAATCTATTTTTAAGCTAGTTTTAGAAATTTACACTTCTTGTGCATTTCTTTTGCAGCCTACTCCCTCAGATAAACAAGAGAGATTAAACCAGACCAGTAAAAAAGGAAAAGTCAAGAGTATTGATCTACCTATCCAGAGTAGCCTGTGTAGACAACTGGGCCAAGATCTTCTCAACAGCTACATTGAAAATGAGGTATACAAATCTGAGTTGATGTTGAATTAGGTGATAATATGTTCTGAAAATTTTGTAGAGGTCAATGATTATCCCCCAAATTTGGGGAAACTAGTCTGTAATTCATAAGGGATTATTAAATAGATCATTGAACCACTTTATTTTGAACAAAATGCTGCGCTGTATTGTCATGTACAGTGTAATTTCACTTTAGTTATATGAAAAACATGAAATATCTCCACTGTAGAGAAAGGCCACTCCAACACTAATGATTCTTACCCCCTTTTATTGTATCGTTAACAGTAGCACCCAGCAGACATCATATAGGGAAGTATTACCAGCCTCCCTCTTCTAATGTGTTGTCCTTAAAGATTAAGGTTCTATTCAGAATATTTTCTGACTTCATTTAGTACTTTTAAGAATTGTTGTCAGTCTTGAAATTTTCTTTACATATCTACATGTTTAATTTTACAGTTGCTTAAGAAAAAGTTTGGTTTCTTTACCAATAGTTGCATAAAAAGTATTTTTATTTTAAAATTTACATTTCTAATAGTTGCTAATTTCTATAGACTTGACTGGCATTAAAGAAGGTCAGTTTTTTTTGAAGTGGCCCATATTCCCCAACTGCTGCACATTATTCTAGGAATTCCTTCAAGAGATTGTGAACAGTGCTTTCTCTCTCTAGTACCTACTTATATCACCTTTTCATTAATTAAATGATGCATTTATGTGAAGAAAGCATTTCTAGAGATCCTGGGTAATTCTGAATTTGTATGATTTGAAACTAATTTTCCCAAAGGAATGAATTGTGGGGAAGCACAGGTATGACAAATTTTGTGTGTAAAATAAGATTTTTTTCTTAAGTTTTTTAATGTCTATTTTAAATTCACAAATGTCAGTGCTCTGTAGTGTTATGTTGTAAAATACAGTGTTTTTGTTCAAGTACAAATTTTGTTCTCTATTATAATCAGATTCTTTCTTTGTTCTTGATTTAACAATAATTTTTGCCAACATCTTTAAATACTTTGATATTTTACTTAATCTTCAAAAAACTATGAATTGTAAATACTGTTAGAGATCTACATTTTATAGATAAGGAAACAGGCACAAGGTAGGCTGAATTACCCAAGGTCAGAGAGTAACCTTTTGTGTTAAAGCCAGATAGTCTGTCTCCAGAGCTCAGGATCACAACACTGTACTGTAGCCCTTCCCAGAGCTAACATTTATTCAGCACCAGTTAGGTGTCAAGCACTATAATAAATATTTTAATATGAGTTATGTCAATCTTATTAACAGCCATACGAGATAGAAAGAAGTATGCTCTTTAGGAATAACAAAACTGAGGTTTAGGGAGGTCAGGTGACTTTGCTGCAATCTCAAAGCTAGTAAATAAATGGGGAACCTAAGATTCTAACCCTAGTATGTACAATGACTATATGCTTTTTTTAAATAAAAATTTTTGAGATATAATTCACACACCATACAATTCACCAATTTAAACTGTTCAGTTCAGAAGGTTTTGCTATATTACATTATTAATTTTTAGAATTGTGATAAAATGTATGTAACAAAATTTGCCATTTTGATAAATTCTAAGTGTACAATAATTTCATGACATTAATTATATTCACAATGTTGTGTAACCATCACCAGTATTTCCAAAACTTTTTCATCACCCCAAATAGAAGCTCTATAACCATTAACTAACAACTCATCATTCCTCCTTTCCCTTAACCCCCAATAAACTCTAATCTACTTTGTCTCTGTGAATTTACCTGTTCTAGATAACCCATATAAATATAATTGTGTATTATTTGTCCTTTTGTGTCTGGCTTATTTCACTTAGCATGTTTTCAAGGTTCGTCCATTCTATAACATGTATCAGAACTTTATTTTTATAGAATAATATTCCACTTATATATATATATATATATATATATATACACACACACATATTTTATTTATCCATTCATCTGTTAATGGACAAGTGAGTTGTTTTCTGCCTTTTAGCTGTTATGCATAACGCTGCAGTGAACATGGGCGTACAAATATCTGTTTGAATCCCTGCTTTCAGTTTTTTGGTTATGTACCTAGGAGTGATATTGCTGGGTCATATTGTAGTTCTTTGTCTAGCTTTTTTAGGAAACACCAAACTTCTTCCTAAGAGCTGCAGTATTTTACATCCCCAACAGCAGTGTTCAAATTCTCCACGTCCTCACCAACACGTCTGTGTGAAGTGCTGTTTCTTTGTAGTTTTGGTTTACATTTCCCGAATGTTTTCATGGCTACTAATCTGAAATTTTTTGAATAGGGGAAGATGATAATGCAGGATAAGTTAGAGAAAGAAAGAAATGATGCAAAGAATGCTGTTGAAGAATATGTATATGATTTTAGAGACAAGCTTGGCACTGTCTATGAAAAATTCATCACTCAAGAAGTAAGTCTACATTGCAAACTGACTATAACTCATTAATAAAAAGAAGTAAGTCTAAATTTCATAGTTTTTAGAACTATTTAAATGTTTGCTTGAGAATGCTAATACAAATATGTAAATAAATGTACCAGATGTGCTACTGTTAATCTTTTGAGCACATTCAGGAATGGTTATCAGTTATTTCTCCAAATTACAGAAGTCTGGGAAAACATGTTTATAAATAAAGTCAGAAAACCTTAAAATTTAATTTTTTTATACTTCAAAAACATTTTGTCCTTCTGTGATGACTTTTATTTCTTAAGGCCAGAGCATTTTCAATGACTGTCTCTTAAATCTTTTACTAGGACTTGAATAAACTGTCTGCAATATTGGAAGACACAGAAAATTGGCTTTATGAAGAAGGAGAGGACCAACCTAAACAAATTTATGTGGATAAGCTTCAAGAACTAAAGGTAAATTTCCTAAAAGTCCATATTTGGACTAAAAACTGAATACAACATTAAGGTGTCCCAAAAATTATGGTGTAAGAGCACAGTGAATGTTTTTGACAAACATATAAACAATGTATAATCATATTTGTCTTGATACTCAGATATAAGATATTTAGTAGATGACTGGAATGTTAATATTACTTTTATACAAACCATGTATTTCTTAGATGTCATTAAGAAGTGATTTGTCAGTCTGACCCCTACCCAGTAGAAGAGTCACCCTTCCTCTGCTTCTCTCCCCCTTCACTGATTTAAATAGACTAAATGCAATATGCTATCCTGGAACAGAAAGAGACGAAATCTGAATAAAGTCTGGAGTTCAGTTAATAGTAATGTACTACTGTTGATTTGGGGTTGTGACAAATATTCTATGATGGTATGTTAGCATTAGAGAAAAGTGATAAAAGGTGCCTCGCTCCCTGTTGTTTCCTTTGTAACTTTTCTGAAAATCAAATATTATTCTAAATCAAGCTGATTTTAAATCTGTAAAGAATTTGACAGAAAATATGTATTTTTCTAAAGTATCTCCCTCCTCAAAGTTATAGAGGCTGTTTTTAAATTTAGAAACTCCCTATTCCAGGCACCTGGGGCAAGGGGTCAAAGCGCTTTCGTTTTTGTTTTTTAGACACTATACTTACAATACAGTTTCTAATCTAGTGAACAAATATAACGAATAATATTCAGTAGATATTAAGATCAGGAAATCCCAGTAATCACGTTGCTTGTAGAGAGTTACATGCATTTCAAGCATTTGAAACCAAGTTTCAAATACATGAATTCTGCATGCAATGTAGTTCTTATGGTTTTCTTATTTTAATAGTTTTATAAACTTTTAACACCCAACTTTGAAGGAATTAAAGTTTTTACTTTGGACTTGAGAGAAATCAAGAGGTAACCTTAATGAATGAGAGAAGGATGTAAGTCATGGGGTTAGGCATCTCTATGTAGGACTGAGTAAGCAAATAACCACTGGAACTCATCTTCATGAAGGAAAATAAGAGGGGGCATTTTAATCTGGGCAGCTTTCTTTGCTATTCGTCATCCTATAAGGGTCCATTAAAAGTTGTTTTCTGTTAATAACTTTTTATTTTAAAAAATTTCTTATGTTAACAGAAATATGGGCAGCCTATTCAAATGAGGTACATGGAACATGAAGAGAGACCAAAAGCTTTAAACGACTTGGGGAAAAAAATCCAACTTGTCATGAAAGTGATAGAAGCTTACAGAAACAAGGTATTGAATTTATAAAGTCAGCTGGTGATGATAGTATGTATGTAGTACACAGAGAGGGTAGGGTAAGTCTAAAAGTTCTCAACTGCAAAGACATAGCAGTTGTTGCTATCAGATTCTAGAGACATTGGGCACCAAACTTAAAACTTTTTTTCTTTATTGGAAAGCTATCAGGATAGGATACTGTCTACTTAAAATACATTGCAAATAAGTGGTTTTTATCTTTTAAAATTCCATAAAACCATATTATAAACTAATCCAGTGACCAAATTCATTGTTTTCTTCTTAGGGTTTCTTTATTGATACAGTGAGAGGTTTCTTGGACCTCTTTTAATCTACAGCCCTTGTTGAAACTGGACTCTGCTAGCCTTTGTTTTGCCCCTTGGCCTCTTTTTCTTTTGATTGCTCTTTGTACTCCAATCTCCTAGTCATCTGTAATGTCCATTCCCTTTTTTCTTTTATATATGTGCCCAAGTCTATTTTATTACCCTTAACCTTTCTACTGTTTTTAAGCCTGACATATTTAGTTCTATAAATGATATCTCCATTTGGATGTAACAGTAAGATTTGAGAAAATTAAGCTGATCATTTTTTCCTTTAAACCAGAGGTTAGTAGACTTTCTTTAAATGAACAAATATTTTAGAATCTGCAGGCTTTTCCATCTCTATACAACTATTCATCTCTGCCACTATAACACAAAAGCAACCATACAGTTTGTAAATGATGGACATGGCTGTGTTCCAACATAACTTTATTAAAAATCTCAGACAGCGGATTGAATTTGGCCTGCAGGACAACTTTGCAACATACAAACTTAACTATACTGCTTTTACTACATAGTGTGAAAAGTGGTTACTTATTTTAGAAATACTTGCAAATTTCGTAAAATAAAGATTGTAGTCCAGCCAACCTAAAAGAGTAATCGAGGTACTAACCATGAATTTGCCTGGCAATGTCAGTGTCCAAATTGTCCATATAAATACAAATAGAATGTAAGGATACTGAAAAAGTAAGAAGGAGCAAGTAGATGAATGAAAATACCAAGAATATTTCAAATCTGGTATTGGAGGATCTAGGTACAACTACTGTGGCCCAGTGATCCCAGGCTGTAGCAATCTTCTTGAGGATGCAGGTTTAAAATATTATTCAAAATAAGACAAAACTTCACTTATGCACGAGGATTTTGAGTTTTTATTTTGTTCCAGGCTCTCTTCAAGGTACTGAAACTACAGCATCAAACAAAACCTTGAATCTGTTTCCAGTATGCTTCAGTTCGGAAAGGTAGACAGTAAATGAGCTACTGTAAAGTAGTCAGATGGTGATAAAAAGCTGTGGGAAAAGTTAAGGAACTGCCAGAGGTGGAGATTTGTCAGAAGAGCAGACTAAGGGCAGATGTCATCTTTGACATGTGAGGGGAGAACTAAAGGAGAGGTGACGGCTCAAGGTGTATGATAACTTTAAAAAGAATGAGAAAAAGGGAATAGCAGTTGCAAAAATCTCAAGAAGAGAATGTGTTGGAGTAACAGTAGGAAGCCAGCATGGCTTAAAACAGTGAGGGTGGCGTTATCAGTTGCCACATCATAAAGGGCCTAGTGGTCCATTATAAAAGTTTGGCTATAACACTGAAATAAGAATCCATTGGATGCATTTGAGCATGGAAGTTATGTGATTTAACTTATTCTTTAAAGGATATGGAAGTAGAGAGACTAGTTAATATATTGGAGTAATACAAGCAAGAAATGATGGAGCCCTGAGCCTGGATAGTGGAGGAAGAAGTGGTTGGATTTTTGCTGCATATATTTTGAAGGCAGAGCTAATAAGCTTCACTGATAGATTTTATGTAAATATAACAAAAGAGGAGTCAAAATGACTCCAAGAATCTTGGCCTGGAAGGATGAAGTTGCCATGTACAGCAATGGGGAAAACATGGAAGAGTAGGTGGGGAAGTAATCTTGAGTTTGAAACACAGGTAGTCATTTCAGATTTTACAAATAGGAATTCAAGTTGGATGTTGGATATAGAGTTGGGAATTCATATAAGAGGTTCAGGCTGGAGAATATTTAAAAGCATGTAGATAGAGGGATGAATGGGGAACAGATACTCTTTCTCTGTGTTGCATTGTCATTTCTTTCTGGGTTTTTGGCTACCAGTCTAAATCATGACTTCTTAGATTGTCTCCTACATGTGACAGCTGCAGTTCTCTTTTTCAGACAAATTTTATTATGTAATTCTCCTTATCAACTTAACCATATCTGTTGAATGGTCAGATTTTCTGTCTAGCTTGCTATATGGCTGCTTACTTTATTTCTCTCTACTCCCTAATAAATTTAATTCCATGCAGCAGCCTTCTTGTGTAAGTACTACTTTTCCCTTTAGTATTTTCCACCAGTCATTGTTTTCCAAACCTGACTTCTTCAGAAAGCCTTTCCTTATAAAAACCCACACTGACTTTTTTCTTCCCAGTTTCTTTAGTTCTGTGTAATCTGTAAATGGCTTCTTCACATGGGTATTGAGGTATACACTCAATAATTTCTACTTAAAGGATTTAGATTCTTATCAATAAATTGGTGCTTACTGAAAAATCGGTTATGGGTTTTTTTTTTTCCTTCCTAATAGGATGAAAGATACGATCATTTGGATCCTGGTGAAATGGAAAAAGTAGAAAAATATATCAGTGAAGCCATGAGTTGGCTGAATAGTAAGATGAATGCACAGAACAAACTAAGTCTCACTCAAGATCCTGTGGTGAAAGTTTCAGAAATAGTTGCAAAGTCTAAGGTAAAAAACTATAAAATTCTCTTTTTTGTGGATTCAATCACAAATTTTTTAATGGTAGCCATACTCTGAGAAATAATCAATTTGCAGAAGAACTTAGAAAAACAGGAATTTGAGGCTAGTCTTAGTTTGGAAAAAAAGATTATAGATGGAACATCTTTGTTCATTGATTTTTATTAGTCTCAGACACAAGGCTGTTTTTAGATTTTAAGTGTAATACTGAATGAATAAAGCAATGCAAAACTCTGTCAAATGTCTGACTTAACAAGACTAGATAAGACTTCTCAGTCTCTACTGTAAAACTGCAGTGTATGTTTGTCTTTGACATAGTTTGAAATATGTAAAATTCCATGGTAAAATCTTACTTCTGAGATAAATTTTCCAGTTTGCAAAACGTTATTACTGAAAATGTCAAAGGTTAGATAAAATACCATGAAAAACATGAGCACAAACTTTCTAATAAAGATCAGTATCTAAGTAGAAAAATGAGTAAAGACATTGGATAAACAATTGACATGTCTAATAAATGCATTAAAAGGTATTCAACCTCACTAATCTAAGAAATGCAGATCTCTTTTTTCACCCATCTGATTTGATTGTTTACATTTATAATCTTTGCCTTAACTGCCAAGGGTGTGAAGATGGCTGCTCTCCCTAAGCAACTTGGTTAAATTTGTTGCAATTCTCCTGGGAATATGTATAGAAATTTAGAGTGAATATAACCTTTAACACAGAAATCACAATACTGAGAAGTCATCTTAATTTGACTGTTGCACAAGTATATGTATATAAATACCCTTGCTTATGATAGCAAAAACCTGACAACCTAAATACCTATCAGTAAAAGACCAGATAAATAAGTTGATGCATATATAGCACATTGCAACAGTTAAATACAGTATTTAAGATACAGAGATATATCTATTTAGATATAAGGATTTATACAACATACTGAGTGAACAAGGAAAGATTACAGAATCAAAAAATTATCTCACTATATAAATTAGCATGTTTCATACATTTATGTTTGGATATATGTGTATGCATGGACATAAATCTAGAAGGATGTTCACCAAAATGTTAATAGTGTTAATTTATGGAGATGGAATTTCACGTGATTTTTTTTTTAATCTAGTTCAATATGTTTGTAGGTATTTGGTCTATTTTTAAAACAAGAACAAGTTTTGGGTTTCTTTTAAGTTGAAGTATAGTTGATTTACAAGATTATATTAGTTCCAGGTGTACAATATAGTGAATGATTCAATATTTTTTATATATTAATACTCCATTTAAAGTAATTGTAAAATATTGGCTATGTTCCCTGTGCTGTACCATATATCCTTGCAGCTTATTTATTTGATACATAGTAGTTTGTACCTCTTAGTCCTCTACCCCTATCGTGCTAATCCCTTCCTTCCATCTTCCCACTGGTAACCACTAGTTTGTTCTCTATATCTGTGAGTCTGTTTCTTTTTTGTTATATTCACTCATTTATTTTTTAGATTCCACATACAAGTATAATATACAGTTTTGTCTTTCTCTGTAAGCATAGTAACTTCCAGGTCCATCCATGTTGTTGCTAATGGTAAATTTTCATCCCTTTTCATGGCTGAGTAGTATTCCATTGTGTGTGTGCTTCCATATCTTGGCAATTGTAAATAATGCTGCTGAGAACACTGGGGTGCATGTATCTTATCGAATTAGTATTTTCATTTTTTTCCAGATATTTACCCAGGGATAGAATTGGTAGATCATATGGTAGTTCTGTTTTTAGCTTTTGAGGAGCCTTCATCCTGTTTTTCATAGTGGCTGCATCAATGTGCATTCCCACCAAAAGTGTACCTAGGGTTTCCTTTTCTCCATATACTCACTAATATTTGTTATTTGCAGTCTTTTTGATGATAGCCATTCTGACAGGTGTGAAATGGTATTACAGTGTGATTTTGATTTGCATTTCTCTGATGATTAATGATGTCGGGCATCTTTTCATGCATCAAAACAGGTCTTTTTTTAATCAAAGAAAACAGAGTATTTTCTTTTTGAGAGAGTTTAGCAAAGAGGCTGTAATAATTTACTCTAAATAGATGACCTACAGCATGTGGTAAGAACAGTTTGCTGTGAAAACATTCCCCAAGTATGTTATTCCCTATTTTTCCATCTATCCCAGTTTCTGTCTCACTGGTCTTGAAAGAATTTAGTAGCATTATGAAACAGACTTTTATTTCTGTGTTGAAAAAGGATATAGAAAATATATTTCTTCTAAATTAAGTTGCATTTACTTTCATGAGTTATTTTTCCTTCAACAGAAAAGGTTACTCAGCTATTTTCAGAAAGTAAATAAACTTCATGTGTATATTTATATATACTTTTTAAAGTAATTTTCATGTTTATGTTGAGAAATTTCAATTTATGAAATAGGTATTATTTGACATAATTGTCATAAAAGACATAATTTAGGCATAATTTAAAGGAATGAATTAAAAATTATTCCTGCCAAAATAAATATTTAAATTATGACAAAATTCTTAGGAACAGTAGATACAAAGCATATTCTTAAAAGATTGGGCTGGCCCAGAAGATAAATCCTTCATTAAGGTTTTGAAGAAATAGTTTATGTTGCTAACTTAAGTTAATATGAACTCAGGAATGTGGAATTAATGTGGAAATTTAAAAAGTTTAATGTGGACTTTAGAAAATTAATGGGAACTTGTTATGTAATATTTTTAATATAATCAATTTTCTTCATGTCTTTAGGAACTGGATAGTTTCTGTAACCCAATCATTTACAAGCCTAAACCGAAAGTAGAGGTTGCTGAAGACAAAGCAAAAGCTAATAGTGAACACAACGGACCAATGGATGGACAGAGTGGGACTGAAACTAAACCAGATACAACAAAAGACAACTCACAGCATACTAAATCTTCTGGAGAGATGGAAGTAGACTAAGTCTTAATTTTACCATCACATAATTCAAACAGTGCAAGTAACCACAGGGGCCATCCTTCTTTTACATCTGGTACACACAACAGATGTTTAGTTCTTCTTAACCACTTTTTGTCATTTGTTTTTTGGAGTAGTTTTGAAAAGTGTTTTATATTGAGTGCACCTCTGTTCATTTCCATTGCTGCTTATGTGAAGCTTTAGCTGAATATAGACTTACAAGTCAGTTTAAGCTATCCTAATGTATTTTATACCAAACATGCAAGATTGAGAAGTAGTTGGCAACAATCTACCTTATTTAAAGCTTCTACTTGGATAAACCTCAGCTCCTTTATTCAGGAAAGGATATTGTATTGCACTGTTGTTGCAGAAGCATAGATTTAATTGCATCATTATTTTGAAAAACAAATACTGAAATTGATGTGGTTTAAAGCCACTGAGGCACTGACCTTTTTCTAGTTACTGTACTGTTATAATTTAAATATTAAAATAAGAGGTTCCCCGACAAATTAGTCCATCTCATTGTTGTGCCATGAGAACTCCAAAACTTTGTGATATAAATAAACTACATCACACATTGAAAGGGAAAATACACTATTTTATGTTAGAGTGGCACCAGCAGTTTGCTTTTTTTTTACTAGTCATGTGGATTGATGTTTCTCAAAGAAATTTGGTGTCTTTTGCACTTGAAACTTCTCATCTACTTGTCCTGAAGAACACCTGCTGCTAAAGTATTGCTAGCCTAAAGATGATGAACCATTTTTGATGAAAATACTTTACCTTAAGGGGGAGATGCTGTTGACCTACTCAGACATGAATCTGTGATGTTGATAGCCTTGTTTCAGTTTTAATAGTTCTTTTAGTTTTCTTAACTGATTTCATTAATATGTTAACGCAGGGTAGGGAGAAATGGCACAATGTGTATTGCATTATATACATTTATCACTGATTTGCTTAATGTCAGAATATAAACACTATTAAATAAGTGATAATACTTGAAAAGAGGCACTTATACGGTTAAGTCTTAGGAAATAATGCTTGTAATAAACTTAACTATGTTACATATCAACAGACAAAATATAGAATGTTACATAGTCTGATATGATATGATTAAATTGTAGTTCCTGCTGTTACATTACTTGTTCAGACCTTGGCTCCAGTTTTGGTGCTTCATATACAAATTATATGGGACAAAGGACTGTAAAATTAAGATATTTTAAAGACTTAGTCTGTGCTTCATCACCAGATTTGTTGACATTGTTCAGTTCTGTCCAGAAGCTTGAAACTAAAAGTATGGGAGCAGGCAGAAATAACTTTTCAACCTACAAGAAAAAGAAGCATAGACAGTGCATGGGCACTTGCATTCTTAAACGCCACTCAACCAACCAGATTGACCTAGGTTAAAATTTTGAAACGCTCACTCTTTCCCAAAGCCACATATTTATATTTAGAAGATTATATTAATACTGACTTTTCTTAAGTAGTAAAAATTGAGAGTTTAGTATCTTTAGGGATAGTCTTTATTTCTCACTAAGTCTGTGAGAGATTTTGTTTCTACAATGTAGTCTGCACTGAAAGGAAAGTATGGAGCAGTGCATTTTGCAGGATTTTTATCCATCCTTTTTGAGGGAAGAGATGTCCCTTTTCTGCATTAAAAAAATACATAGACCCAGTATATTTTTAATGTCTTCCAGCCTTTAACTATCTTTTTGTAATACTCTTAAAGTGAAATAATTATATCCATTTTTAAAGCATGTATTGGTTACTTTTCATTTGTATGTTGAATATATAGGTTCACTTCAGTAAGAGCATCAAAGTTACGAAAGGGAATATATTAACAGTCAGTACACATAGGAGTTTATAGCTTTTTTTGAGTTAAAATCTCAACCCACTTTGTTAGGAGCCATACCTCCAAAACTAATTGGGCATAAATGTGGCAACAACTCTTTTTGCATCTGAATTGTCTAGTAAATCCTGACATTTTCAGTTCCTTAAGCCAGTTTATGCAGTTCAGTGTTTTGGTCAAAAATGTAACATTCCAGTTCCTACAGTTATGTAACACTTCATTTAATAAGTTAGATACATCCAAAGATAATGTGTATACTTTTCCTGCCCATTTATTTAACTTAAATTTTCAAAAGCTCTTAACATACTTAATGAATATATTAATAAAAAAGAAAATGTTCTCCTTAATACAGTCTTAGGTAGAAGGTAGGGTTCAGTTTATTTTTAATCTGCATGAAATACGCAGTGCTAGACAAAAAAATTAAAGGTTTTTTTCAAAATAAAAAGCTGTAATTTTAGAAGTTAAGAAATACACAGAAAAACAGGATGTTTTCCTGTAGTAAACAAATAAGAACTAACTAGGCAATACCTAGGATGATTAATAAATATAGAGTAATACACTTCGACTCTATGGAAAAGTATAAATTACTTGGTTTCAGGAATCAATGCCTGATAGCCAATTATACTGTGACTTTAAAAACAAAGATTGCTAAATAATATAACAAAAGAAAGTTTTTGATGTTTTAATTCCTTAGCAATGTACAGAATTCTTAAGTTTTAAAACAACTAGAAACAGTACACCAGAGAATTGGGCTACTGGAATAACCATCTCAATTTCAAAAAGGTAATTAAATTAGACTTATTAAGAAGAAATAGATTTCTCAAGACTCTTTGGGGGTCAACTTTTAGTATGTCCATGATTATATTTCTTAGCTAGAAATCTGTTTAAAGTGAATTTGGGGGATTAATTATCAGTATAAAATGATAATGTTAAAACATTTTATCCAAATTAGCAAAAATTACCCATATTGACAGACAGCAACCATTTGAATACAGTGCTCAATTGACCCAAAATAAATATAACCATCCCTCCATTTTCATAAATTTGAATTGTAATAGTAAGCCTGCAAACAGTCCCATTAGGAATTTGTTTCGTTCTTAAGAGCTGGTATTTGGTAGTCCACAAAAATTAAAGCCTTGGCATTAATTCTGCATATCATGGGTTTAGAAGAAACAGAAAAGTATAACTTCATCTTTCTTACCTTTTAGAATTTTACAACAAAAAACTTCAATTCTAGGAGAATGGATGTTTGGGTAAGCAAAAAAAAAACAAAAACAAAAAAAACCCAACACCTTCAATCCTAAAGTAAATGTTATTTTGTGGTTAGACTTTGGACCTTTGAGTTTTAAGTGGAATTTGGTTCTGTGATATTTAATTCCGTAAAACTTAATGAGAAACACATCTTACTGCATTGATATATCAGTATTTAAAATCTGATGGCATTGACTAAAGTTAGCCACTGTTGACTTTTTAGATGACCTAGGGGTAGGGATGCTTATAACGTCTGATACTAATGTTGTATTATCCTCTTACACAGTGTTTTATAACCATCAGTAATTATCTTTCTTTTTGTCAAGGTTTAATTTAGTCCAAAGTAATTCCCAGGAAGCACGTTATTTTTTTCTTTTGATAAAAAGTACTAAAATTGAATGCAGATCAAGACCAAGTCTTTAACTAAAACAAGTAAACAAAATGAAAACTTTATTTTACTTTCACATCTCAATTTTCAATGAATCAAAAATAATATCCTTCCATACACTCATGTTTCCTAACCAAACAGCTCTGTGTTTATAATATAGCCAGGTATCTTTCTTGCTAAATCCAAGGGTAAATGTTTCATACAATAACATGGCATCTGGAATCTTTAGACTGTTAACAAACTGCTTAGAAGAAAAGAAAAAAACTTACATGTCTGTGGCCAGTTCCTGTAGGTGGTCATGGCTCTTTCACCTTCTGGATCCCTAAGAGTACCTCTAGCATATTGTTAGAGTAATCGTTTTTTTTTAAAAGCATATCTTTTAAAATACATTATTAAATAACTTGGAGCCTTCAAGTCAAAGAAACAAAACTAATAATTGAATCATGAACATATGATTCAGTCTGTCAAGCAGGTAAAAGTCCGTAACAAGAAATATTTAATAGTATGATCTTTGCTTTGGAATCTCTAATTTACTATCATGTCCTAAGTCACAGGATGAATATTAGGGAAATGTATCGATACCTAAAAATTACCCATTCTGTAAAGAGATTAGTCAACTTCAACATGTTTTAGTTTAATTGCATTATAATACATGAACTATAAATGGAAATGGTCTTAGTCTTTCCTGTTATCTTGTTTCATTTTTCTTATTTACTACTAGACTCTTAAATAATCATTATATTTTTCTCATATTTTGCTTTTTTATTTGGATTATTCTTTAGGTCTTTTATTTCACGGATTTAAAAAAAATAGTTCCACTGCTTTATTACCCGTCTTCTTTTTACTTTAAACCAAATCTTACTGTTAAGAATTTTTTGACTCTTAAATTCATACCCGAAAAGTCATGTCATAAGTTTCCATATGTAATATGTCTAAACTTTAATAGTGACTTAACAGACTTTTCATATCCTGGCCTTTGAATAAGTTTTGGATCAAAAGAGGTCAATTTTGTTAATATTGTGTAGTCAGTAACCATGTTCCTCATTTTTAATCCAAATATGAATGTGACAAGGGTCAGAATTGAAAATAGGTGTTAAAGATTAGACAGACACCTTCAGTTTTTTGCTGCCTTCTTATTACATGTGTGTTGGGGTTTTTTTGTGTTTTTTAGAATTTCTTGAATTTTTTGCTTCCAGACATTGAGTTAAATTAAATGCTTTTGAAATCATATGGGCCCACCCAGAATGTAGATGTAAAAATGTAATTAGAAATTGAGATCTAGGTTAAGGAAGCTTTAAAGTGTTGTAGGTTTTTTATCCCCTGAAATAATATTTCTATGGCTTAGTGTCTTGGAAAGAGACTCACATTAAAAGTAAAAAATTTTATATTTGGTAGGATGAAGCCACTGTTTAATATCACAGTATATAGAAGCAGTTTTTTAAAATGAAGTTACGAATTGTTTAGTACTAATATGACATCCGTCATTTTTTTCTCCAATCATTAAAATAATTTATATACAGTGACTTCAACTCCAGTCTTAGTGCAAATTACTTTCTGCCAGTTTTATTAATTCCTACCAGTTAAACTGTTTTAAGGAAACTACTACATTTGATTTCTTAATTTCCTAGTTTGTTTTCAGCACAAAGGGTGACCAGTGCAATGCAGAAAGTAGTAAGCCTGATGTGCCTATAAAAATAATTAACTGAATTTTGCATGTAACAGACCCTTAGTTTCAATGAGCAGATGTGAGAATGGGTTGTGATGTTAAGCTGATAATGTTCTAGGATCTACAGTTCTGGTTCATGAACATATCCATAAAATGTTTACATATGGCAGAATCGAAGTATATAAAACATTTTCTATGTATGTAAAATGGCATCTTCATACTAGTTAACAATTAGCAACTGATAAATGCATTTCACTTTTGGATAGCAAGTGCACACTGTCAAGAAGTTACGTAATTATAATAAATATGTATCTACTACTTGAACCATGAGTTTTGCACACCTGAGGCTTAATTTTCACATATTGAACTTCATTGACTTGATAGTGGTTTGTGGACAGGTCATTAAAGTTATTTACATAAATTTGCTTGGCAATGTGAGGGCTTAGAGAAAACTGGCAAACTTTAAACCTTCAAATGCTATTGATTCTGAAAACTAAAGTAGTAGTTTGCTAATAATGCAAGTGGTGTCAAAGAATAACAGTTTTCCATTGGAAGAGAAAACCTAGGAATAAATGAACCCGAAGACTTAAGAAATTTTCAATATGCAAAGATGAGCTTCCTGCCCCAGAGTTTCTCCTAACCTCTTTTTGAGAATTGCTATTCCAGATGAAAATGTGTCAAACAGCTTAGCATGTTGGGATCAGAAAAGAACTGAGATCCCCAGTCTAGATTACAGCATTTGGTGCTGCATCTTCTAGTGGTTGAACAACTTGTGAGAATAAGAAAGATAATCCTCAATTCAGAAAAATGTTTATACCCCATACACTTTATAAACTTTCCAGTGAAATTCAAATAAATACTTTCAAAGTCTAGAAGACGAAACAGTTGACAGTTCTTTCCTGTTCATCTTATCCTGAGTCTGAGAAAACTAGAGATGATATTTGCTCTCTTCTTTTTTTTTTTTAAAGAAACTCCTCAATCCCTAGTTATTAAACAAGAGTTAGTTGATAACCTTCAGAGGTGAACAAGGGTTGTCTGTTAACTGTAAGTTCCTCCTAATAGTTTATCCTCAAACTACCTCCCCCTCTTTAAACGTAAAGAAATAGGTTCAGGATGTTCATGTAGTCTGCAAATACCAGAAGGCCATTAGAACCAGCTGTGTTGAGCACAATTACATTTGGTCTCCTGTTTAACCTCACTGAAAAGGATTTGTGTATTGGTTTTAGAGATAATAAGGATCAGGTTCAATTAAGAGCAAATAACTAGGAAAGAAACCATTCGTAGTAAAGAAAACCTTGAAGGCAAAGAGAAGCAAAAAACAAGGAGAAATCATAAAATAACAAGTATAGGTATCAGTAGTTATAGTAATATAATTCAAATACCATAAACTTCCCAGTTTAAGAACTATACTTAATATTTACAAGACACTTAATAAACAATGATGTAGTAGTTGAAAGTAAGTTAATGAAAAATATTAGAAAATGCCAATCAAAAGAAAAACTGTTAAGTCACTCATCAGGTAAAACTGACTTCAAGGTGGAAAGAAAAGGGAGTGTTGGGATGCACAGTGAGTTTTAATAATGACGACAGAGTAATTCAACAGAAACCTAACAATCTGAAACAACAGCCTCTAAATATATAAAGCAATTGACAATAACATACAAGTTTAGGCCCACAAAAACAGTGATAACTGGTAGTATGCAATAAGTATAAAAAAGAATTGAATAGAATTTTAAAACCTAGGTATAATAGAATTACACAATCTGTACTACATAACCTGTACACATGGAGTATTTATAAAAAGTTATACTGTAACCCAAAAGAAATTCCATATGCTAGAACTGAAAAAATGAACTTCTAGAAAAATCAAATCATGCTGAAAATTAGAAAATACTTCTAACTGAATGACAATTTAAACCTATTTTAAGTTGCATCTCCTCTTTCTTTCATTGCAGTACACAAAAATGAAAATAAGCACTCAGCAGCCTTTAAATAAATCTGAATATAACATGCAACTTGGTAACATGCAACTGAAGCACTAATTCAAAAGTTTATACAAGCGTACCTCACTTTATTTGCTTTATAGATACTCCATTTTTTAAAATTGAGGGTTTACGTAACCATGCATTGTCAGATGAGGGTGTTTTTAGCAATAAAGCATTTTTTACTTAAGGCATGTACATGTTTTTTAGACGTGCAAATGCTATTGCACACTTAATAGACTACAGTGTAACATGAATTTAACTTTTATATGCACTGGAAAATCTAAAACTTGGTGCAACTCACTTTATTGTGATACTCACTTTATTACAGTGGTCTGGAACCTGCAGTCGCTCTGAGGTATGCCTGTATGCTTTAATGCATATATTTAAAATGAGGTTGAAAATATAATGACCTGAGAATATCACAAAAAAGGCAGAAAGACAATAGCAAAAAAAAAAACCTAAATAAATCAGAGGTAAAGAAAGAAGGAAACAAGAGCATAAATCAATAGCAAATGGCATAAAGAATCAACATTGAAACCTCTATCTGAAAAAATATATATATTTTAAAACAGACAAGCCTCTAGCAAAGTTAATTAAGGAAAACAAACATAAGCATTAAAAGAAACTGATTTTGAGTTAACAATCTGTTCATAATTCCATTTATGGCCCATCAAAAAGAATAAAATACCTAGGAATAAAACTAAGGAGGTAAAAATACCTGAACTCAAAACTAAGACCCTGATGATACAAACTGAACACAGCACAAACAGATGGAAAGACCATACTATGCAATCCCTAGATAAATACCAATGGCAATTTTCACAGAACTAGAACAAATAATTTTAAAATTTACATGGAAATACAAAAGACTTCAAATAGTGAAAACAATTTTCAGAAAGAAAAAGCTGGAAAAATGATTCCTGACTTTGGACTATACTACAGAGTTACAATCAAAACAGTATGTTACTAGCACACAAAAAGGACACAGGTCAGTGGAAAAGGACAGACAGCTCAGAAATATAACCCAGACATGTATGGTCAGTCTACAACAAAGAAGGCAAGAATATACAATGGAAAAAAGACAGTCTCTTCAATAAATAGTGGTGGGAAAACTGGACAGCTACATGGGAAAGAGTGAAATTAGAACATTCTCTAATACCATGTACAAAAGTAAATTCAAAATGTATTAAAGATCCAAAACAATAAAACTAGACGAAAACAGGCAAAAGACTCTTTGACAAATCATACCAATATATTTTTGGATCTTTCTCCTAAAGCAAAGGAAAAAAACAAAAATAAACAAATGGGACCTAAATAAACGTAAGAGCTTCTGCACAGCAAAGGAAACCATCAACAAAATGAAAAGACAACCTATGGAATGTGAAAAAATACTTGCAAGTGATATGACCAATAAGGGGTTAACATCCAAACTATATGAACTCACACAACTCAAAAAACACGTCCGATCAAAAAATGGGCAGAAGATCTGAATGGGTGTCCTTCCAAAGAAGACATATAGATGGCCAACAGGCACATGAAAAGATGCCCAACAGTGCTAATCAGAGAAATGTAAATCAAAACCATCATGAGTTACCACTTAATACCTATCAGAATGTCTATGATCAAAAAGACAAATGTTAGAGATGATGTGCAGAAAGGGAACCCCCTGCACTGTTGGTGGGAACATAAATTGGTGCAGCCACTGTGGAAAACAGTATGAGGTTCCTCAAAAACTAAAAGTAGAACTACCATTATGACCCAACAACTCCACTCCTGAGTATATACCTGAAGAAAATGAAAACAGTAACTCAAAAAGATATGCACCTCAATGTTCATAGCAGATTTACAGTAGCCAAGATACAGAAGAAACCTAAGTGTCCACTGAATGGATAAAGAAGATGTGGGGGGGTGTGTGTATGTTTGGGTGTGTGTGTGTGTATAAAATGAAATATTACTCAACCATAAAAAAGAATGAAATAATGCCATTTGTAGCAACATGGATGGACCTAGAGATTATCATATTAAGTGAAGTCAAGTAAGATAAATACAATATCACTTATATGTGGAATATTAAAAAAATCTTACTTATAAACCAAACATAGATGCACAGACATTAAAAACAAACTATGGTTATTGAAGGGGAAATGGCAGGGGAGTGATAAATTAGGAGTTTGGAAGTAATAGATACACATTACTATACATAAACAGGGACATTGTATAACAGAACTATATTCAATTTCTTTTAAATTCTGTTTCTATGTAATAACACAATAGAACAGAAACTGAAAACAATATATATATATATATAAAAGTATATGCATAACAATCACTTTTCTGTATACCTGAAGCTAACATTGTAAATCAACTACACTTTAATAAAAAATAATCAATCATTAAAAGATGTGGCACATACATAAAATGGAATACTACTAAGCCATAAAAAATGAAAACTTGCCATTTGCCACAACATGGATGGACTTGTATGATATTACTTAGTGAAATAAGTCAGACTGAGAAAGATATTGTATGATATAACTTATACGTGGTACCTAAAAAATAAACTAGTAAATATATCAAAAAAAAAACCACACTCACATAGAATGTTCAAAAATGAAGGCAAAATACTCATACAAAAGCTAACTTTCTCTTAGCAAATTTGCACCAGAAGTAATACCAACAGGGAATTCTTCATGAAAAAAAAAAGCATGGAAAAGAATGCACCAGAAAATATAAGTATGGGGGGGTGGTAACATCAAGAAGCAGACATGGAACTCACTTCCTCCCACAGACACATCAAAAATACATAACAGGTGGAACAATTCTCATGGAAAACTAAGAAACTGGCAGAACTGCTATACAATCAACACTGCAAGAGAGATTTCCAAGTAAATGAGTGGGAAGGAAAAAAAGGCATCAGGTAGGGACCTGCGCCCCTGGGAGGGATCTGAAAGGAAGAGAAGGTCCAACAGGAAGAACCTTGCTGATCAAGCTACAAACTAGGCATTCCAGTCCTGGGGTCCTATGCTGAGGAGTCAAGCCCCTTTGACTCCAGGGAAAAGCAGTGGGAAAGAAAGAAGGACTGGAGAAGCCTAGACTACACTTGCAAGCAACGCCTGGGTGCTAGCTTGCCAAAAGACAGGAATGAGGAGGGCTCTGCACTGGTGGCTGCTGCTCACCACAGTCCCCAACTTGAGCTGGACAAACACTCCAGCCCCAACTCATTCCACACCACAGCTGGGTTCAGGATCTGGGCCAGCTGGCTCCTGGAAAAAGAATCAATCTAGCTAGGCAGAGACAGCCTAAGGGCATGCGTGTGGTCCAGATGGCGTGATGGTGGCC